ATATATATATATAACAACAATATCCTACACCTGTATTTGCTGTTGTCGCCCCCTCCCTCCTGTATAAAACAGGCATTTCTGAAACAAGTGCCTGTTTTTGTTTTCAAACAACAAATGCTGTGGCTGTGTTTACAATACAGCTGTGTAGGCATTTCTTTCTATAAACACTGAGTTGAGCTAAAAAATAAAAAACATTACTTGGTAAATTTTAAAGTAGCCTATACTTTGTATTGAGCTACACTTCCTCTAAAATATCTAGTAATATAATTTTACATTTTCCTTTTTCTGATATTTTTACTTTTATTCTTGCAGTCATTGTGTTAAAGTAAGTACAACAACAGCGATTGTCCCTGCCGTATGTACACTACACATCTTTTTGTATGAATGTGTAATTGCACTTGGCTTCTGCACACTTGGATGAAGAGTACTTCTGTTAAATTGACAGCTTGACATCACAGTTGCATCTGAGGTGAAAGCTGAGATTAATGTTATTATCTAAATAACAATTTAATTTGACATTGTTGTCACAGGCTGCTACCACCATCACCAAGTCTGCTCTCAGTGCTAGTAACAAGAAGACAACGCTCCCAGCAGACTTTCAGTTTCCTCCAGAGACTCTGTCACAGCTCAGCCTCAAACCCTCCAGCACGGTGAGATTGACTTTTGCAGTCGGTGGAGGAAGTTGAATATAAGAAATGTTAGCAACAGACAAAAACAAACCCTTACTTTATTTCTCTTTTAATATATTGACAAGCATATGTCTATTTATGCATGATATAATATGCATGATATCTACATTGTGAAAGATTTTTATGTTTGTCATGGTTTAACCTTCCTCTTGTGTTCACTTTCTGTTACCATCTCTTATGTTAACGGGTCGGTTTTGACCCGTGTCTTAAATCAGCTGTAAAATACACTAAAAACAATTAGCTATCATCCAATTTGTTTCTCATCTCTTGGTTACCTTGTTAGGCTTCCATATCCATGAAAATATTGGTTTTAATATTTTTGATGTGGGCCTCTGGGCCTTTTTTTTGTCAGTATACCCCTCGATTTCAATTTTAAAAAATGGTAAAATGAACCTCAACAGAATCATATAAATAAATAAAAGGTTGTTGTGTTACCTGACTATTACTTAGCACTATTAGAACACATCTCTTAAATAAATTTGTTTTATTTATTTTTTAATTTTAATATTATTAACTATAGTAACATCTATGGTGTTACGGGTCAGTTTCGACCCATATGTATTTACTTCAAGAAAAGGGCAAAAAGGTTTTTTTTTTTTATTATTATTATTTTATTTGCTCTGGTATCTCTGTTGTCAAATCTGAGGACTCTTGATATCATGCGAAAGGTCTGAAGTGACATTGTTGAGCCAAAAATATTTCTGCCTGCCGATGCGTCCCAAAGACTATCAGTGGCCTCATTGCAGGATCTGTACACTCCAGCAAGAAGAAGAACACCAATATAGGCATCCAGGTATTCCTCATCAATGTCTTTCCACATGTCGCCCTGGACTTTTTTTCCTTCCACGTTTGTCATAGCAATGATGACTCTTTTTAGTGACAATGGCATAAATAGCTCAAAACATGTCTTGATGTCACTGACTCTTGTCACAGCAAACCTTGTGATTCCAGGGGTCATTTTGATGACATTTGCAGCAGCTGCCCTGCCATGTTCATCATGAGGTATTTGTTTTGTTTTTGTGCAGGAATACTGGAAAACAAGGCAAAATGAGCATCCCCTAAAGCTCACATGATTGGGAGAGGAGCTGTCTGTCAGTGTTTTGGCTGACAGTGCACTTAGGATTTAAGTTTTGGTTCTAATTATTGCTTTATAATACGACTTTTATAACCGGGTCGAAACCGACCCGAACAACACAAAGGTCATAATTTCAACCAGAGCATTTTATAATTTAGTGAAAAAAAATTTTTTTTGTTTTATTTTGTTGAAATAGAGGTTCTTGACAAAGTCAAAAAGCCTTGACGCAATAAACTAATTTATGTGTTTTTTAATGCATTTAAAACTTGGAAACGGGTCGGTGCCGACCCGAACACCAGAGGAAGATTAAAGAGGAATAACAAAAAATATATAATAAAATAACAGAAATTATGTATGTATCTTTTCACCTTAGTTGACCCAGGAAGGGCAAAAGAGACTGTCTGGAGAACTTGGAGAAGGGATTGGAGACTATGATTACAACAACGCCAATGACACTGTCAACTTCTGTCCTGGAGTTCAGGTCTTGAACTATCAGTTTTACTAAAATAAATACATAAAATTGAGTATGTGTATTGGCAAATGTCATTAGATTTACAGTGTTTTTCCTCCCGCTGTAACACACATTTCCTGTTTGTGTCTTCTTTCAGGGTGCTGACAGTTTTGAAGATGCTGAAGGTTTTGCCGGTTCAGATGATGCACTGCTGTCAGGAGATGATAGGCCTTCATCCTCTCAGGCTCTAGAAGACGTCTCCACCTATGGAGAGGATGATTTGGTTCCTGAACCTCACAGAGTAAGTATACTTATACTGTAAGTTATACTAGAAAATACGTTTTCTGCTGAACAGTTCCAGTAATATAATTGGTTCATCAATGTTTGAATATAAAACTGGTGAATTTTTGATTTGTGAAATCAAAAACCATTTTAAGAATACTATTTAGTGACATTAGTCTTTTAGTATTACTATGAGTAAAATAGCCAACTGCATTTCAAGGCTGTGGATACATGTATAAATAGACACAGCCACGTCGACTTCAATTCAGCTTTTGCTTTCCAGGTCAACAAGATTGAGATTAATTACGCAAAGATGGCAAAGAAAATGGACATGAAGAGACTGAAGAATAACATGTGGAGTTTGTTGACTGACAGTCCAGCAAAACCTGCAGAGGTAAAAGTGTGGCCTTTCACCAGCAGCTCTTTACTGCACATGTGACGACTGTCCTTATATTGTTAATGTGGTCCTACATAAAGCATAGAACAATCCCTTGTTTGATGTCAAATTGATTGTTCTTCATCAGGGATCCTGTCTCAGTAGATAAATAGGTCCATTTGTTTTAAAGACTCACGCTTTTCTTTTGTTCATGTTTGATTTTTCTTTGTCTTTTTTCATTTCTCTTTTTTTATGTCCGCTGCAGGAGACAGAGACTGTGGTGCATTCAGAGGTGTGTGGGGAAAAAACCTTCAGTCAAACAACAAAGACACTGCTTGAAAGGTAAGATCAGCATTGATGAAAGAAGGACATCACTGAACATCACAGAGTTACTTTGATCTACATTCAAATATTGGTTTGTCATTTTTTTCTTTTTTCTCTTTTTTAACCCTTGAACTATTTCTTTGTTTTCATATCAATGATTTAAACTCAAACCGAAATAATTGTGACAAAAATTAAATTGCCCCCAAAAAGCCACTATATAGTAACAAGATAACCAAGTATTATTTATTTGAAAAATCAGTTAAAGAAGGCTACACACAAAAGAGTGAAAGAAAAGCTCAAATATTTTAAACATGCATTAAACTGCATTTTTGTAATATTTACAATAATTTACCAAAACAATTCATTCAAAGTGAATAGTTTTAAACTACCTTTTGTCATCACCCAGGTTGCCAAACACAATGGCCCAGAACCTGTCTGTACCTCTGGCATTTGTGGCTTTGCTTCATCTCGCCAATGAAAAGGTCAGTGTTTTGATTATTTGTTTGCTTGAGTCCTTGTTTTGTTGTTATTGTAGTCTACTGTATATTTTGGACATACAGTATTTTGATGTTTTATTCACAGCTACATTATTACATACAACTTTAATTTTATTCTTGTACAGAATCTAGAGTTGGTGAAGGTTGATGACATGTCCGATATCATCATCAGACAAGGCCATTGAGAAGAAATAAATAACCTGGTGTTACATGGAGAATTCACTGCTCACCTTTCAAACAATTCCTTTTACGTCTCCTTTTTAAATGTGTCTCTTTCTAATTATTGTTTTAAACCCATCACATTTTTACCATGTATATGTATATTATCAAATACAAATAAAAAAAGCCTTTCACATTTTATTTGATTGAAACATTGTGAAACCACTACCTTGTAGTGTAATATTTACTTATTTGTATTTTGTAAAATAGATTACATATTTAAATGCATCTACCTTAATCACTCAGGGGCAGCTTCATGTCAGGTATACACATTTATCAAAGTGAATTGAAAAACAAAGGATGTTCGGGATAAAAAAAAATCCAGCGTGCTACCTCCTGCCGATGGAACTTGGTAAGTGACGCTACCAAATATTTACAGACCACTCCTTGGAAAAACGTTGAGTAAAAAGGTGTTAGAAGACACAACAATTTTAGTGTTTCTTTTGACCTTAAGCAATGTCCTCCAGGGAGACATAAATAACATGCAAATCTATTAAATAAATAAGTACAATCTGTTGTCCTTGTAAAATTTCTTTAAAATTAATTTTAAGGGCTGACTTAATATTTCCTATCCCCATTTTTTCACTCTTCAATTGTGTCTGTATATCAGATGCCATTTTTTAACCCTGATCCATACACCCTTCTCTCTCTGTCTGTGTGTGTCAGAAGCCAACCCCCTCTTTTAGCCTTCCTGTGATCTGTTTTTATTGTGCTTATGATTCAGAGCAACTTGTGAAAGTTGTGAGACCTGGAATCAGGTGATCAGTATTTATTTCTTAACTTTGTCACCCTGCCTGTCAGGACTTGGCTGGAACCGGTTGGTCTGGCATGGTGCTGCAGGTCAGGCGTGAGTCATTATCGCATCATTACTCTAAGGAGTTCTGAGAAAGGGCGGAGTTGCTCAGTGGAGAGTAATCATTAGATTCAGCTGGTGAATTTCTTATATATTTTAATGATTTATTAAATAAGACACTTCAGACTTTGCTTAAAACAGCACACACTTACACCGCTATCTGATTGAACTAGATCTAGGTCAAATCAGTACTAATCTAGAGATATTTTGTTATTGTGTGAAGGAAATGACTGCAGAGAGCTGAAATAGGCAAGACTTTCTTTCTGTCAGTTCATCAAACAAGTGAAATAAAAGAGAGCAACTTGTCTGCTGATTTAACTGATCATCTTTAATCAGAGAGTCTTAGGTTTGAATCCACCTTTGTGGGAATTTCACTTTAGTAGAAACTCATAACACTGAGTTGAATCATTTCATGCTGTCTCTTGTACCAAAACTAAAGGTGAAAGGTTCCATCAGGGTTGATAGTGCCAAATGAAATGTATTATTTATGTGGTTTGGGTGCTGTCTGCCTTAAGAAGGGTGAAGTAGGTTGAAGAGTTCTGTTAGGCAGCTGGACGTGAAGAAGACATTTCACCACTCAGTACTTCTTTCAACTGAAACTCAGCTGATAATAATGGGATTTGCTTAATTAACTGCTAACATAAGTTATAACCAAAGTAAGAAGTTACTTTTTGTCATGTGAACAGATTGTTCCTTCCTTTTTGGCCATAAACAATAAAGACGAAATGTAACAATAGCCTGCGGTTAGTGTAATAGGGGTTAGCACAAACAGATGACAGAAACAGGTTGTGTCCGTGTAGTTAAAAATATGTCACAGGTAAAGCTACAGTAAGTTACTAGACGTCATATCAGAACTGTTGTGGAAAAGAGAATCCGTTCTTTCAAAATACAACACGCGCTCGTTCTAGCTCCCCCTGCACATAACGTGCAAATGTTATTAATGATCACATTTATAGAAGTGTAGATTCAGCTGAAATCATGAGTGGCAAACAGCTGTTGAAACAGACAACATATATCAAGGCTTTTGAATATTTTCTTTTTAAGTCGAATTCTCGAACATATTGTTTATGTCCATACGTGTTTTTTATTGAGCCTAAGTTATTATTTTATTTAGTTCAGTTCGGGTTTCTAACCCAGTTAGTTACTTAATGTTAACAATTTAACCTTAGATTTTCGATCTTTGACAGAAAATGTAAGGTTGATGGTAAAACCATTGATGAACTCACAGTTTGAAAAACTAGACCGGATGTGGAGGCTGTATAATGGCGTAGTGACACCTGTGGAGACGGAATTCAGTTTGAAAGAGGTGGAAAAAAACAGAAGAGACAACCAGGAAGTTCAACAGGGGAGGAAACGTATTACTTCGAAGGACTATCAAACTTTACAGTGAATACATCGAATTGCAAAGGTTTTGATTAAGTGCCAGTTCAACTTTAAAACAAGTGAATCCATCTACTGGTGGCTAGGACAACCCTATTGTCTCCAACAAGATGGATTTCGATGCGGTAGGTGGACTGAGTGAAGTGCTTTTCTGTTTGTTTAGAAAAAAATTGTCCGCTGTCACCTTGTTGAACGTAATACCAAAGAGACAACGGGTGCTTTTCAGGGTTCGATTCGTTAATAAACCAGGAAACAGCGTACAAAGAACTATTTTTTTCAGCGCATTAACTTTTAATTGTTAGAGGAGGAAGTTAGGGGATAGCGTAACAAAATGGCACCATTAAGAATCCGCCAGAACCAGACAGGGTTCATACCAATTGTTTATTGGAAAAGGGCTTTTCTGTTTACTTTTCCGTATGTTTAAACTAATATTAATAACTAAACGAATATAAGTTCTGTCTCGGGCACATTTTTGCTTCATGTTAGTAGTGCTGTTTGGTTCCACGATACTCGATATAGTAATAACACCAGGATTTTTGCTAAATAAACCGATATGTAACTATATTACTTTTTTCTATAATAAAAAGGAAAAAGGAAGCATGCAGGGGGCAATGCAATACTCTGAAATAACATGTTAGTTTCCAGAGATCTAAGGAAAAGGCCAGACGTTAAGTTGATCAATCGGTTAAAATCAATGCCTTATCCATTGGAGCCGTCCCAGTCCATGTGAATGACTGAACTAAAAAACTCACCTCATGTATGATGTATGCCCTGGGATAAATTGTATGGGCCCGATATATCTTAATTTTGTTGGCTATTTCTTGGACGAACAAAATTATCACAAGGAACTCTTTATCACATGTTTACCAAGCAAATTGACAATGCAGTAATTGGAAAGTACATACTCAAACTACATCAGTTATCTGTGGGGCAGACTACTAAGCTCGGTGAAACTTTGTCTTTTGTAGAACCACTTAAAAGCATGTGTCAAAAGTGTAAATATTTGAACCCTTGAAAGTGCTAGCTAACCTTTAATTCAACAATGTCAGCATCATCCAGTCTACATTCATTGCAACATCCTGGAATGCAAACATTTATGTTCTGTCTGATTTTCTTAATAGATTGTGAATAATTGAAGAGTCTGACAGAATTTAAGAGACCTACCTCCAGAATTAATTTTAGAGTCTTTTTCAAATGGAGACCTGTTGTTGCAACAGGGAAGTCTTACCACACATGTAAGTCCTGCACACGGTTTACAAAGCTGTGCAATCACTTTGAGCAGAAAGATTGAGCAGTTCAGTATCCCAAATGCAAACTGTCCTTTGCATTTATGGTTCTAGTCAAGCTCTGCCAAAGGTGATATTTAAACAACAGGGCAGAAGTCTAAGTTACTTATAAAGAACAGCAGTATTTTAAGATAATTATGAACGGTGGAGGCTAACATACTTGTGGATATTCTCAGTCATCCAGGTCATCATAACAATTTCAAAAGCAGTTTTTAAACTGCTGAACTTTTTAGTCAGCAGAACTGATTAAGCCTTTTGGATGAAAGGCGAAATGTCTTAAATTTATTTGAGGTGAGTCCAGTTGCCTACTTTTAAAAAACACTTTTGAAAAAGGTGGAGTATAAGTTTAAAAAAAGGAACACACTCGAAAGACAATTTTTTTTGTTTGTGCAGCCCTTCTCAAAATGTGTGAAAAGTTATGTAACATAACTCTGGATGAAATTTTTTTGTAAAGACAGAATTGCTGTAAATATTTGGCCTTTGTAAAAGTATAGGTTTTTATAAGTGATGGATTGCTTATTCGGCAGATCTCTGACACTGAGCCTCCACGAGACCTCGACATCAAAAATCCAGTTCCCTCTGTCTCTCGCTCATCCATGTGTTGAACATGGATAGCCATGGCATGTATGATATATGTGAAAAGAGTTCATTGTTGTTCCTCAAAACTAAATCTAGATAATTAAAACAAATGTGTCATCCTCATCCCAGAATCATTTTTTTCTTTGGTACAAAGGAGCAAGTTATACCATAAAATATTAAGGTTTTAATACTTTTTCCAGTTAAACTACATGGTTTATGGTTGATAAAAGTCTTGCGGCCAGCCACTGTCCATGTATTGCTGAGCTATATTAGCTGTTCTAAGGCATTTCAAATATTTGAAATTAATATTGCATGTAAGCACCACAGCATGAACGTCTTATACTGGGTTTCTGTGTTTCTGTCCGTCTTTCTGTGAATGTTGAAACACGATAGCTTTCGGCCATTCAGCAGTGCTCATTGATCTGCACTGCTACAGGTGGAGGAGATAGAGAATAAAAGTTAGTCAGTGTCACACACACAGAACAGCTTGCTATAAAGTCTTCATATTAACTGCAAAGCTAAAGATTCGACAAGTAGTGAGCAAATACATTTTCTTAGAAACTTAGAAAGGGAATTACCGACATTAAATATAAACTGAGCAAACTTTATATATACAATATATTGGGGGTGCCAAGCATTTTTCTCGTCAAGTCTTGTGGAACTAAATGAATGAACTGTATTTAAAAGGCTGATGGACAGCATTGATGTTACATTACACCATTAACTCGTAAGACAGGTGCCACAAATAAAAAATAGACCAGAACAGCAGAGGTGAGAGCAGCAGAGGAGCACAGCCCAATAAGAGAGAGTGCAGTCAAAGAAATCTAAGCACAGCCTCTCATGCTGGGATCCTGCAGGAGTGGACGAGCAAAGTTTCTTCCCTGGCTTTATTTCACAGATAACACCACTCATATTTGTTTTTCTTTGTTATTATTGTTGTTGTAAGTGAAAGCAGACCTGAGGAAAAGACCGGGGTATGTGGGTGACAGCATGCCTGCTGCTAAGCACCAGTGAAAAAGCTGGTTTAGGACTGGGCCTTTGAAATATTTCTCAAAACATTTGCCATTAGGGTTTTCACTCATTTGTTACTTGATAACAGCTCACAATAAGCTTAAATGTTTTTCAATAATGTTTTACCATAATAGTTGATTTTTTTAACTAAAAGTTAGAAGAGGCAGATGGCGACACAGGCCAACTTGCTTTGTTTCCTAGAGACAGCTTTTGTTAGGAGGTTACTGTCTACTCACCATGAAACATTAAAGTTACAGTTTAGGTTCACACACACACACACACACACGAGAGACACTGCAGTTGTCCATCTAAGAACACTAGTGATCTTGTTGACAGAAACCAGACACCCAGTGAAAGTTAATTTATTGCCCACACGTTCCTCACCAAGTTCAATTAGCAGGTTTAAAAAAAGAAGCTTAGAAATTGAATAATTTTAAATGCTTTTTTTTCCTCCTTTTCTAATCAAGGAGAGAGGAGAGCCAGTACCAGCACCAGAGCCCCAGGACAAGGTGCAGACTCTGAGGGATCAGGTGGATGGAGTCAAAGACATCATGACACAGAACGTGGATCGGATCCTGGCACGAGGAGAGAGACTGGACGACCTCATGGGGAAGTCAGAGGACCTACAAGCAGGGGTCAGTGTCACCACTGGGATTTTTCTCTTGTTACCACTCTTGTCTAAAAATCCATTGGGCAGTATGTACTCTTAACAGTATCCTACACCTGTATTTGCTGTTGTCTCCCCCCCCACCCCTCCATTATTTTTTTTCATGTCGAAATTGAAGTCAAATCAACAGGTCACTTAATGACGTCACCTTATTGACAGAGAAGGAACTACACAGACATGAATGTCCAACAATGATCATGTAATTCTCCATATATTACTTTTGTAGGTTTTACTGGTGGAGATAACACATCCTCCAGGACAGACTGTACAGGGATCCTCTGTTCATGTAGCCACCTTAGCTTGTGGAATTTCACAGCAGTGCTGTCACTGTGAAGTTGTTTTGTTGTAATGCATAACTGGGACTGCTTCTCTTTCAGAGTGCCTGTTGGCAATGATGGGCTTGATCTGTGCTTGTGTAAATTTTCCTTCTGCATCAAGCAATGTTACCGCCATTTCATGAAGTGATTTTGACTATTAGTCATGTCAAGGATAAATTGACAGTGTTAAAAAGTGGTGAAAAGAAAAACAAATTGATTTCTCTCTTAGTGCCATTGTAGGAGCTTATAAAAATCCCCACTTTAATGAACATTAATGTCTTGAAATAACATATTTCCATAATCAGGCTGCACTGCGTCCACCTGATGAATGTCGTTGACTCTCATCTGTCAAAACCTCCTCTCATTCAGGCTCAACACTTCAAGCAGACGTCTCAGAAAGTCGCTCGCTCCTACTGGTGGAAGAACGTCAAGCTGGTGGTGGTCATTATTGTGGTGGTCCTAATAATCGTCCTCATCATCATCCTGTTGGCCACTGGAGTCATCCCTGTCGGTGCTCCTCTTCCTCCTATGGTGGAGCCCACCAAGAAGCCATAAACACAAACAACTGTACATATACAACAACAACAACAACATTCCATGCACAGTGTGAGAAATAATATATATATATATATATATAAATACATACATCGACTTGAGTAAATCGGTACTGTCTGGTGAAACCTTTCCTTCTAGCTTTGTTCTGGTGAGGCACCCATCATGATACTGCTTTGGTTTAGGGCACTTTAATGACACACCAACATCCCAGACACAACTCCAGTTGATGCATTTGTGCTAAAGTATAAATGGAATCTTCTGTCCTATGTGTTTCACCTGACAGTAGGAAATATACAAGACTGTTTAAAAACTGTTTAACTACCAGCGGTTACTTACTGTGGAAAACAGGAAGCCCCTTAAACTGTAAAGATGAAGATGAAGTATTTAATTCAAATTAAATACTCCCTCTTTTTAGAATTTCAGTTTGTCACCTAAGAGTGCTTCGAACGACAGAGTAAATTATTTAAAGTATAAAATAAAGGCAGTTTGATGAAGATGAATGGTGAGATTGAGGGATTGTGTAAAAAATGAAAGGTCACAACTTGTTTAAATGTCTTGTCTTTAAAAAAAGGGACAGAGGGACATCTAATAAATAAATAAAATTGCAGATGATTTATCTTTCTAACCCAATCTAACATCTGAATTCACATCGTCTCAGCTTCACAGCCATTGCATACTAGATATTATGTGAATGGTTTTTCACAACTTCAAGACTCAAGATATAAATTTAATTGTGTGGTTTGAAACTTTAGTTTAGATTTCTCACTGGCCAGCAGTGGTACTGCACTACGAACTGCTGTTTCATGCGGTTTCTAATACTCTAATGGGCCAGCAATCTGTTATATAAACACATATGAGTCAAAACAAGGCACAGATTAGAAATAGAAGACACAAAAATGTTACCCATGTTCATTTGTGGAGCTGCATCAAGTTTATTTTTTATGAACTGGGACTTTGGGGGGGGCGTTATTAATTGTTTATTACCACAGTTTCCTTGTTTTAGTCACAGAGAGAAGAATAACTTAATGTATACAACTATTTGTTACTTTGTTAGAATATGGCATGTTTCTACTGCATTTGTTGTAGGGTCAGCATTGCTTATTAGTGCAATGGATTAGACAGAGAATCTTACTGTAACAAAGCATGTTGGTGAGATTCACATGCCACTGACACTGCACCTTTGCATTGACTTTACACACAGTAACACCAAAGTGTCCCCTTCCAATCAGCTATATATAGATACTGCCAATTAATCCCTCTTTATTTATTTATCCTTCTTCAGAGTTGGGTTAAGACCTAGAAAGTGAAGCTACTTCATTTTTAAGGTGTGTTTAATGATTCAGCAGTAATAATCATCCAGAGCGGATTTGTAAATGTGTGCAGTTTTACTTAGCCTTTTTTTTTCTTTTACTAGTCATGTTAATTTCTTGTCCTCCCACTATGTTTTAGCTTGAGAATTGTTGCAGCTTCAGTTTTAGGTCTTTGGTCAGGCAGCTGTGAAAGAGATGTGTTTTACCTGTGTCAACCGAACAGCAGCTTTCATCCAAACGTGTCTTTAATCACACATCTGTAATAGCACATGACGTGCTGTTACAGATTTATTTTATCATCAGAAATGTCTAATTGATGCTGGATATTATCCATACAATGCTCTCTGTATATTAACTGTATTTTCTTAAGAGTGTTTATTAAGAATCCACATGTTACTAAACTTAAGTTTTTCTAATAACGGGGTCAATGAAATTTCTATGTGATCTTACTTCAAAAGGGCAAACATTCCTCTTCTTTTATTGATTATAATGTAGCACAGCCGTCTTTATATGTAAATGAGGGTCTTCGTTCTCTGGTTCTTCCTGCCCTTATGACTTCATGCTGTTCTGTGAGGTCAAAGTCCTTATTGTGATTTTGCTGCTGTATGGTTTCTTCGTTTAATAGAATTGTTTCATTCATTCTATGGTTTCACTAAAATAAACAATTTACTTACACACTTCTGTGATGATTTTTTTATTACTCAATTGTTATTTAATGAGTGGCCACAAGACGGAGACAGAGAGTCAGGGAAGGATGTCTTTCAACATGCATTAGAAACTGATGTGTTCAGACACGACAATGAACATTAGTTCATTGTCCTGTCTTTAGATGCTTTTCCATTTTTTCCATTTGAGAGTTTGGTTTAAATAGTAGTTAATATAAAAAGGTGATTTCCCAGATAAATTGAGAGAAGTAATGACAAAGTGGAACATTGGCATCAAACGCTAACAACTACGGAGAAAACTCCCAAGCTGGTTTGATGGGTGTTTCTACTTTTCAGTAAATTGACTTTTGACCCGTTTAAAAGTCCTGTAGAATGATGTCACTATATCTGTAAAAGCCACAAAGACATGAAACTGTGTCCCTGCCCAAGATTTTCACCATGTTGCCAGTAAATTAAATTATTCCTCACTGATTGTTGGCATTTTATTTCTATTTGAGCAGTCTCTAACAGAATAAGATGAGATTTTACTGAAGCTAACCTCCTGCCCTGGCTCAGAGGTTAAAGTGAAGGAAAAACCTTTACTCTTAAGTCAAACTTGTTTTCTCTTTCTGGAAACAGTATTTGATGACACCACTGTGCACACAGTCAAAATAATGTTTTTATGAGCACTTATTTTAAAGAAGTGGGGGTGGGGGATTCTAGACCCACTATGATGACATGAATATTATACTAGGGCAAGGCCTAACTTTTTGACAAAAATCTATGAGCGAAGGCATAAGTGTGAGGAAGTTTCTTTGGCAAAAGCACAGCAGTGGCAGGCAAAAAAGGATGGAAAAGTCGAGAGGTAGAGTAGTAGAGAGTAGATTGCTTCAGAGAGAATAGTGAAAAAAGCATACAATAAATCTATGTATTATCTTTCAATCACAGCAAACCATGTTGGGGGTCATGGTTGCAGATTACGCCAAGTTATAACAAGCGGATTGAGCAAAAACCTGGTTTACCTGGTTCTGAGTCAGAATGTGTCTGGTCATTGCATGAGGATCGTCCCAAGTTTGTTGACTACCTGGCTCTTACATTCATCAAAATGTTGCTTAGCTTCAAAGACTATGACATGTTTCATTGCTTCCTGTGATTCCCAACCATTGTGGAATGGTGAACTGTCACCCATTGATGACTGGAATTGAGTCCAACCCCAATGTTAGGCAGACCAATTAAACAAGATCTTCATGTGTCTTTCTTCAATGGCTGTAAGTATATCAGTTTTGTGTTCAACTCAACAGGCCTTGGTTGTGTGCTGTGGAGCTTTCTAATGTAAAATATGTGACATAACACAAAAAAGTTTTCGAAACACTGGTGTACTGCATGCCTTGCCAGCAAAGAGTAGACAGTCTTGGTGTTCGATTTCCAGGAGGAACCACATATCCCTAATGGCGTCTCCTGTGTGGCAGCCTGTATGTTGCAACCACAAACTATGAATTTCTTCATTGTAGGATGAATAGGATTCTCAATTGTTATTATTACTATTATTATTAAAGTTTCTGGTTGGCTACCATGTACCATCAGCTGTTCTAGTACAGTCTACAGAGACAGCTAATGTTGTTGGTAACGTCAGCCTTTGTTGTTTTAATAACCTTCAAATATTACTATCATCATTTATAGCCTTTTAAAGTTGTGAACAGTTCTTTTTTGTAGTGATGTGTGTGATGAGAATCACTGATTTAAAATGTTTAATCCGGTGTGTGTATGCTTTGACTGTGAATTTTGTCAGCCAATGAGGACATTCTTTGAAAGCCCATGATCCTCAGTGCTGTGAATAAGTAAACTGCTCCAGGCTCAGCTGTTCCCACACATCTATCCCACTGGTTGAGACTAAGATCATTTGCAGATCTCCTGTGATTCGTCCTGCTGGGACAAAAGTTCTTAACAAATAAAGGTTATAACTAAAAAAAACAAAAGTCAAAAACATGGTTTATAGTTTCAAAGCAAATATGTTATGACTAATACCTTTTTCCAATGTCAAGACCAAATTTGTTCCCAATATACTCTCTGCTGTCAAAAATTATTATTTAGGATATATATATATATATATATATATATAGTGTATATATAATACCATCAGCTTTCAGCACTCTCTGAATGTAGTCTGGTTAATGTGCTGCTTATGGAACAACTAGTGACTAATCTATTAATGATTAAACACATGACATTGAGTTTTGTGAACAAAAACAAAATCTGAAGGCCCATTGATTTACAACCAGAAGGTCTCAGGCTGCTATGGTGATGTGGAAGTGATTCTCAGAGCATGAACCAGTGACAGGACAATGATGTGACGTGAGGGAGCTCTGCGCAATCAATTCAGTCTTTGTTGTCATAAAGCCTTTCCCACAACACGGCCTCTGTTGACTGGACAAAGTGCCTCGTGCTGCCTTCATTAGCATAATGTTCTTCACTACACGCTCAGAGCATCAGGATGAATAGTAACGATCACTCAATTGGTGGGTGAGGAATTTTGTCAGGTGTTTTCGGGTGAAGCTAAAGAAGTGTTTACCCTGAAAGTGATCAGTTTACTTTGAAATATACTATACAAGAGAAGGCTGTGCTATTCTACGACATTCAAGTTACTCTAAAATGTTCACGGTGACAATGGACACTTTTCTTTCCTCATAAACAGCTCTGCAGTATTACCAGTACTGTTTTTCCACATATGTTGAACACTCACCACACTATCTGCTCTCATTGGCCTAGGCCCTTTAATTTTCCCTCCTTTGTGGTTCAGGGTCTTAGTTTGAACTTCTGTGACCATGTACACGTGTATATCGACTGATCAAATAACTTGTAGCAAAAAGACACTAGACGTGTTCGTACTACAGAGAATTTCAGAATTTCAATTTTTATTATGTATGGTATGTAGGAATATAGAAGTCTCCATCAGGAGGTTGTTTGATCAGCTTTTGTATTATCATTAGTATTCCCAGTCATAACAGAAGTAAAGCTCGTGTACAGTATGTGTTGACTGGACATGCCACAGGCAGCGCCCATTATATTCTGATTACAGTTTCTTTCATTTTGTGGGAAAGAAAGAAAGAAAAGAAATGGGAACAGAAACAGACTGGTAATGGAAAACATTCATTAGCAAAAGCACAGCTAAGTTCTTGTTGAACAAGATTTGTTCACTTGTTCATTTCTCTTTCACTTTGTTTGTGGTGTTTACTAACCAAGGGAAGTTCGCATAAAAACTCCCATACATGTAAAAATGAGAAGTGTGTTCGCCTCCGTCAGGTTAGTCAAAAACAACTGTGCAACACAGTTCCAACAGCTGCAGTATAGACGCCCCGCTCTTTGTAGCTATTAATATGATAACATCATTTAAACAACACTGAGAATCAGCTTGCAAGGAAAAGGAAAAAGGCAGTGAAACAGTTTATTGCTGAGTGCAGCAAACATGTGGGAAGTCTCACTGGGCATATTGCATGATTATTACACATATTTCTCACTAGGGTGGACCTGCTGTCACCTTCTGAAATTGTGCACAGCTCAGGCCACAAGAAGGCAACACCCTTCAGTGGCCACACAGGATTCAGTGCTTTACTGTCAGTCTGCACAGGCCTGACAGTAATACGTTGGAGTAATTGTTCAGGGTATGAGTTAAACAGAGAGAAAGACTGACACAGACTGCTAGTTAACAGACCACAGAACAGACAAAAGCATGTCTGTGTTTACAATAGATCTGTCGTAAATATCTGGACTTTGCTGCATGAAGGAGATAAGGTCACAATGCTGCATTCAGGAACCCCTGACCATCATAGGAGGAAACTGCAACAAGTTTATTTTTAAATAGTTATGTAAAATGATATATGAAATCATTTTACATAATTTCTAAATCTACATATTTGAAAAACATGGGCACTCCTTTTGTAGATTGAACTCCACTACTCTCATTGAACAATAAGACTTATTGTGCAGACTTATAAGACAAATATGTGCAATTTCACCACTGTGGGACAACCACAATAACTTGCCTCTGTACAGAGTGCGCTACGCACTTGGGAGCCGATAGGTAAATATAATAGACACAAGTTACAAGTTGCCACATAAAACCTATTCAAGATGCATGCTTAGTAATACCTGGATTAAAACAGTCTCGGAGGCAAACATGTGTCCTGAAAAAGGCAAATCTGGAAAATGTAATAGATTCAGAATTCGTTATTAAGTGGGTGGCGGTAATATCGTAATCGTATTGTGTAATTCCCGGGAATACCATGAACGCCGCACAGAGGTCGAGTGACACAGAGAGAGAGAGAGAGAGAGAGAGAGAGAGGGAGAGAGAGAGAGAGAGAGAATAGAGAGAGAGGGATTTCACACTCGTATAAAAGGGTAGAACAGAGGATAAAGGAAGGCTTTTAGAGTCGTTTCAAACCGCAGCCACTTTAAACCCAATCGCTGTTTCTGCTGCTTCATTGGGTTTCCTGTTGTTTGCTCAAAGTTAGCGGAGTCGCCCTTCAAATGTACTGGGTCCTGTGACAGACAAACAGGCACGCCGACAGAGACACATACGCAACAGACATGGTAAGTAGTTCTTCAACTGGTGTCCACTGTGCCACACTTGGACACTTGCTATAAAAGGACAGAGAGAAAGAGTTGAGTCAGAGTGCTGTCATTATCTGAGCGACCGAAGTCCCCTGAAGGCAACAGCAGACAAAGGAGGTCAGAGGGCATGCTGTCAACGGGAGATTGATGTATTATTAACGTTCAGTTTAGCTTTTTTTAATGAAAAAATAATGTTAAATAATGTTAAATCAAAATTATCGATTGATCATTAAAGAAGGCAATAACAGGTATTTGACCAAATGTTTTTGGAATATACAATACACTAGTCTTGTGTGTTTAATTACGTTAGAAATAATGACTTTAATAATCGAAACGATGCGTTTAAAACACTTTTTTTACAGGCTAAATGTTGAATAGTCCATAATCAATAGTATAGTTAAATTGATGCCTCTAAAACAACATGCAAAACAACTGACAAATAAACAAACATCTCATCTCAGCTGAACAAATATAAATTGTCGCAGAGAAGTAAATAAATAAATGTGATTAGTGTAACTGGGGTGAGTTACAGAGTTTGGAAATGTGATAAGTCATTTTTTTATTTTAATGTCCCTTTTCATGGACAATTAAAAGTAGGTGTTGTTGCTGTAAAGAGATACTTGTTCATGATTTTCTCATGTGGATCATTGTGTATCACATTTTTTTACTGTTCAGAATCAGGCAACATTGTAATGAACTGGCTGTAGTGTAGAGTGGGTGAGGTTTCCCTTTATAATGCCAGGTACCTTAATCCTGGCAGGATGGAGGGAGTAAAGAAAGGAAGGAAGTGGTGACCCGGAAGGAGCAGCTGTGCCTGTACTTAGACAAAGACAGCAGAATTTTTAAAATGAACTATTGTTCAGCTACAACTTAGTGTTTCCAGGATGAGGTGAGGAAGCCTAGGGGCATCAGTCAGTCACTTATGGTCAGACAATTAATCCATGAAAAGCAGCCTCAAACTCTCCTTGGTATTGTGCTCACACGTGGACCATGCCTGATGTGAACTTATACATACAGGATGTGGCTCATGTAAGTCTTGACAGGAAATGTCAGTGAGCATAATGAAGCAAATCTAGATGCTGAGACGTGTGCTTGTAATGTCTCCTTTTTCCTGTTAACCCCAGATAGGGTGGATTCTTCTGGTCGAGTCTTCTCCGACTATTAAATAACTAAGCTTTCCTCCCACTGACATTTGTGTCACAGACGTGGAGGTAGAATGTAATCCTCATAGTTTCACTACTTGTGGTTTTGTGTTTTTCTCAAGCATCACTGACATGATAAAAGTAGGAATCTTGTCTGTTCAGAATAAGCCTTTAAGGATTTTGCAATGTGTAGCACATGCAGTAGTAAAGTTAAAGAAGATGTCATGTCCTAAAAATGGACAAGAGAGATGCTCATTTTTTTAACTCAATGTGACCAGCGTGTGGCGATGTAGCAGTGCAATGAAAAACCTAGACCTTGGTCTATTTTTGAAAAAGATTCATGTTTTACATTCATGTTTTAAATCTTTGTTTGGTCCCCTTTAATAAGTCTTCCTTCAGTTTATACCTATATCCTTTACTCTGTTTACAAAACAGAAAGTCTGTCAGGTCGTTAACAGACTCCACCTTATCTGTATGACCTTCCCAAGATCAACCACTGGTCTTAATACGTGCTAAAATTAACCTACTTGTTGTGTTTATCCTAACATAAACCATGTCACAAAATTAATCCACATTACTTTATATAATATAGTAACCATGTTATTCCTCTGTTGTCTGGACAGGAGAATGGGAAGAGTCGTCTGGAGCAGACCCAGAAGGATGTGGAAGAGGTGACCGTCATTATGCTGGACAATCTAAACAAGGCTGAGGAGAGATCTGGCAAACTCGGAGAGCTTGAAGAGCGAGCTGATGTGTTGCTGGAAAAGGTATGCAGTTTAGAAACCCTGTCCAAGTGGAGAGGTTGAAGTGTGTGGTGAATAGTAGATGGTAGATAATAGTAGATAGTAAAAAAGAGCACAAATCTCACATTTCTATAGGCATTCTGGTAATGGAACTAGTAAACGTAATTTTGATGCCTATAAATACATATTAGGTGGAAAGGAAAACAAAAGTAATATTTACATCCTGATTGTGTTTTATGGGTATATTTATAGAAAGGCATTTCCTATTTTGCTTAAGATGAATGAGGAGAGGTGGTCTCCTTGGGTATGACAGAGTGTGTCAGGATGTGCCACGAGATGAATATCCATCCAGGGTCAAAAAATAGGTCACATTATTCCCACAATGCCTGGTCTGTGCATGTTACATCATAATTTCTCAAAACCAGCAAACAGCTTAGCATTGTAAGTACTACATATTGAGATAGTAGTGGTGATTATGAAAACAAGTAATTATTTAATGTTCTGCAAAAAATGTTTCAAAAATCTAGCTATGAAAATAGAGATAATTATAACAGAATTTGAGTGATTTAGTCGTTGAATAGAGTAGTAGTTAAAGTAGTAGTTAAAGTAGTAGTAGTTAAAGTAGTTTAGTAAAACATTATCTAAATGTAACTCAAATTAATCGAAGAGATAACTGAAAGTTTGCAAAACAGTAAAAGTAACAAAGGCTAAAAGTAAGTCAAAAATGTATATCACATAGTGAAAATGGCTATTTATTGTAGTGGTAAAGAGATGTGCAAACTCACAGTACAATTAACAGATATTTTATTAACATTTTAGTACTTTTTGCTGCCATTTGGTTTATTCTTGGCTGACCAAACTGTTGTCCTGTACCAGGACTTTTGTAGCTAATGTTAGCTCTGGTAACAGTGCTTATACAGTAAAATAAACACAATCTCATCACCATCGCTTCTTGTGTACTGATGTCACTCAACGCAACCAGTGTATCTATGAGCAGTTGGTTTAAACAACCAATGAGAATTTACCATTATGTTGATAAAAGCTGTAACCACCTTTTGAACAACCGCAGTGTCTTTTTCAAGAAATGGCACCATCAACTCCTAGATGCCATGTTGTACATACTCCAAATTAGGAAGCATTTGTGTAATAGGAAATAGATCACCAAGAAAATGTCCTGTGGAATCAATAAGCAAGGAATTGGACCATTGTGAGCTGAATTCTACAAGAACCAATTCTCAATTCTCATCCCTGTGCAGGAGTGTGTGCATTACTGTTGTTAATGTGGCAGAAGCCAGAGTTTCACCAATACAATTTGTCAACAAGCCATCCTCAAGATGTGTTTCACTTGGAAAGCACAGATAATTGTAACCAGACTTTCTAAGAAGTCAGTGCAGCCAACATACTGCCTTTCCTTTCTTTCACATGACATTTTTCCACCAGATGTTTCCTTTAACAGCTCAGATGAACCTGTTGTTACCTGCAGAAACCAGACACGTCTACTGCATGACCACTCCTGCACAATATTACCACCTTTACTACAGTGTTGAGATCTGTGCCTATTATTAAAAATATTTAAATCTATATTTGCTGACATTTAAACAATCTGAGAACACGGTAACAATAACTACATTAATAAGCAGAGTAGCAGCATATAGAAATGACATGTCCTGAACATTACAATTTCTTTACAGTAAAATGTCTATCTGTGGTCTGACGACAAAACAAGTAATTGTTTTTCTTTGTGTGTGGTTCAGTATTATGACGAGAGCACTTAGCATTAGAACGCCCATTATTGATTAATATATTTTGCCATGAAAAACCCACAGTATAATTATTGTTCTCTTTTCTACTAAGGGAAAATGACAGTATTTCTTTATTATATGCTTAGTGAGCAGTGATGTGCTGACTAGTAGTTAGTTGATAAATGGATGATTTGAGACCAAATCTCATTGATACATATACTGGAACAATAGCTTAAGGAATAGTAAAAAATAATTATTAATTTAAATAATTAATTTTTAAATAAATATAAATACATAAATATAAAGTTATAATTAGATAAAAATGTGTCTTAATATAACGGCTAGCTAAGCTTCCAAAACAATTCAAGTAATTTTGTTTGTAATTTTCTACAGAGCAAAGCATTTGAAAAGACAGCCAACAAGGTAAAGCAGAAGAAAAGATGTGAAAACCAGAAGATGAAGATTGTGGTCATAAGTGTCGCAGCGGTGTTCGTGCTCATCATTATTGGAGTGATCATCTATTGCTCTATTGGTAGTGCGTGAGGTCTGCAGCTCCTACATGAGCGCACAAGGCCAACGATTCAAAACAATGGGACTAAAGGACAAAGATGAACATTTCTGTGTGTGCCCAGACTGTGGGAACTGTCTTCATCTTGTCTGATTTGTTTATTCTATTATATTTATGTGAGCATACATATGTTTCTTAAATCTCTATGGTACCACTGGTTGCTCTGCTGCTTCTTTTCTTTGTTATAACTTTTCTCAATCTCTGTCTGGTCACCAGTCTTTGGAAAGACTTGTTACTCTACAACGTTTGAATTTCTGTAAATTCAACACAAATTGAAAATAATAATTTAGAATCAGCTACAAATGAAAATGCTCTAAAAGCAAATGTTCTAACCACAACAAATTCATTTTAGCCAAACATTATTAGCTGCTGCTCTAGCATAAACTGTTTGGGCAGTCACTTTTTCCAAAAATTATATTAAATAATAGAAAATTATAGTAATTGGTAGTAAAAATGTCTCTGGGTTTTTTGGTATCTCTCAAAGTCTTAAATATGAATCCTACCTTTTTACAGATGCACTCATATTGTATTTGTCCATCCAGGACAACTGTTGGGCTTTTTGCTATTTGCAAAATAATTTTTAGAGATGAAGATGGTTGTAACCACCCAAATTGGACTTCGGTCAGAAAGAAACAGCTGTTAATATTGGTTCACATCCAAAAGTACCAGTCAGAAACAAAAGATAGCCAGAAGCAGAACAAGTAAGTATAATAATTACGTACTATGTGTATTTGCTTCAACTAGAAAGATGAAATGTTACACAATTTTCAATATAGGCTGTGAAATGTTTTCAAAGGTGCCTTTATAATTATTAAACTGTGTTGGTTTCTATCTTGAAATTATGGTCTGCTCTGTTATTAATTAATTAATAAATACATCAATTAATCCATTTATTTATTTAAAAGTTGGGTTTTTGAATAGTACTAATAAAATGGGCTGGTAAAACAGATATTTCTCTCTCTAAAAAATTGAATCCTGTCACTAGAATCTTCAAATAGACATTGTGGATTTTCTAAAGTAAGTATGCAGTGGGGGGCAGTGTAATATCAAACGTTAGCTGAAAATTGGCGTAAAAAAAGTAGGCCTAAGGTCAAAAACATATTAAGAATATGTAATTAACTAAGTGGAAGGAATGCTTATTACCCTGTTAAAATGCTACATTCTATGACAAGAAAACAAAAATGTATCATATTGTTTCATTTTATTGTACAATGAATATAATAACAAGGACATGAAGAAAGGTACATTTATACATATTATAAATACCCTATAACTATATCTCATTACTTACCCAAGAGAGGGGGATGGAGTCTGGAAAACGACTGCTTCCATAAAGTAATTGTCTGGTAAGTGGGAGAAATGATGGTGGTTCAGTCATTACACTGGAGCCACAACTGCAGATGCTGACTGTTTACTCAAGGAAGAGGCAGAAATCCGAAGAGCTGATGAAGTTATTCTGATAAACTGAAATGACAGGAAATACTGAGCCTTCTGCGGTGCTATACCACCTTCTAACGGAGCATGACAAATGGGCCTGTTGGAGTTTGTTACAGGATGTTTTTGTTTAGCTGTTTTTAGAATAGAAATAGAAAACAAAATATATTTTCTTCTTTTGCATTTGAAAAAGATGTTGTAAGAGAACGTTTTATTGAGAATAAATATAATGGATTTTTTGAACGCTCAGATCTCAGTTTCTTGTTTATTTTAGTCCTTCAAAAATGCATTTATTTCAGATATACATTTAAAAACAACTAATCCAAAAATATCACCTTCCCTAAATATTTCTATAAAAAAAAATAAACAATTCCGACGTTAAGTGTGTTTTTCATTCAATCATTTTACACGAATCCCGTAATTTAAAATGATATACTTACATGATTTGGCTACCTAGCTCACATGTCCCGGAAGTTGGCGAATAACTTCTTCCTGCAGTAAAACCGGCAAGATGGCAGCGGACACGCAGGTTCGTGTGGTTGTTTTGTAAATGTTTACTGTGCGTTTATTTAATGTTAATTACATACTTTGCTACTCACAGAAGAGGCGATTTGAATATTTTTTTGATAAGTTAAGATATTGTATCGGTGGAGAATAACAGAGAGTGGGTGAAAATTGTCTGAATGTAACAGCTAGCAGTCTGTTAGCTAAGTGCTATGTAGCCTTGAAGTGAGTGATGAGATTAAACAGCAGCAGCAACAGAAACAGATTACACTGATACATGACTCATCTGGGATCAGGAGCCAATGCTGTTGGTGCCATTGGCTTCTGGAATATTTTTTTTTAAAAGGTGTATGTTCTTGTCAATGTAATTTCCCCTACGTTAAACATTCAATATGCACGTGTCATACATAGCAATACAACAGGTGATTGATGTTATTGCTATGCTGCAGATCCCGGTTGTTGATATAGTTTTAGTAAAGACATTTAACGCCACGTTTATTATTCTCCGTGTTCCTGGCCCGTACAAAGTCTAACATCAGCTATTATTGGGTGTGTAGACACATATCTTACATCTTCAACCTCGCTGCAGTTCTGGACTTTTGAAACATTTTAAATCCTCCAAGTACATGAACAATATATTCATTTTCTTTTTAAATTCTGAAGAAAGTCATCATATTTTGGTTATGGAACTAACAGCACCAACACTAACATGCTAAGTAAGAGTGACCATATCTGTGTTTCTTAGGTTTCAGACACACTAAAGAAATTTGCATCAAAGGTGACCACCGCAAGTGTGAAGGAGCGGAAGGAAATATTTGGAGATCTGAAGCAGTGTTTAAAGGGCAAAGGTACATTATGATGTGTTATGAATTCCTACAGTGCAATAATTATGGGTAAAATACAACTTATATTTATTATTACCCTTTCTTGAACACATTTTCAGAGTTACCAGAGCCTGCAGTAAAAGGACTATGCAGGCTACTCTGTCTGACAACACACAGATATCGGTAGGTTTTTATACAAAACAATCTTGCAGTATAAATGTGCTTGAAGAAAATGACAACTTTTATATAATGGAATTTATGTTTCTAAGGGATTCAGCATCCCGCAGAGAGCTGCTTTCTGTCATTGGCCAGTTGGCTGAGAACCAACCTGACATCCTGGTGACCAGCCTTCTGCACTGCCTACTGAACAGTGGTGTAATCAGCAAAAGTGGAGAACCCAGGTAGTATCCTGAACTCCATATAAACTTATTGTATTTAAGACATCCTAAATAACCTTTGTGTTTAAAAAATACCATTATAACACTGGCCATTATATTTTTCAGTCAAAGCACAAGCTCTGCTGCTTGCATTGGCCTGTCATGGACAATCCTACTGGTACCCAAAGTGTTTTCTACCCTAGAGAAAAGAGAAGGCCCAGTCTGGAAGAAAATGGTCAGTATGTCACTAAAATGTTGGTTAGATTTCACCAAATGTTTTTAGATGCCACTGCTATTTAAAATACTAGACATACGTCTTATGTTTCCCCTGTGTTTTGTTTTTCAGGTGGAGGTTCAGAGTCTCCTTGTGGCTGAGGTTGTGGGTGGAGCCAAGACGATTGCCCTGAAATCTAGCATAAAAAATCTTAATCACCTTTGGGATGAAGTGAGTGTAGTAAACAACAGTGCTGATAAGTGATGGACTTAAATGTTGACTGTATCACAGTGCGAATGTTAATGTTGTTTAATCATAAAATACAATATTCATTTAGTTTAAAGAAGAGTTTTATTCATAATTCATATTTAGAAGTCAACACTACAGCTTTGTTTTGTTTCAGAACCCTGGACTGGTTGATCAGTACATCAGCACACTGTTAAGTCTGGACCAGAGTCCAACAACTTTAGTTATGCTGGGAGTTTGTTTAGACTTTTGCTCCGCCAAGAAGGACATAGCTAAAATAGGAGAGTATAAGGTGAGATCTTTTTAATGTCTTCATTATTCCAACCATATCTCTCAAGCTATAAAAGTATTTATTCATTCATTTATTCATTCATTTCATTCATTTCTTCATTTATTCCAGAGTTCCCTATTGGACCTCTATATCAAATCTGTGCTTATGAGCAAAACGAAATCACAGCACCACATTTTAAACAAGAGCAGCTCCATAATCCGTCACGTAACCCACTCTGAATTCAAGGAGCACCTACTTCCTACCCTGCAGAAGACTATGCTTCGCAGCCCAGAGAATGCCATGCAGAGTGAGACGCCTTCAATTTCTGATGATTACAATACATCCTTATATTTTTCACTTTGATATTGGATTCTAAATGTTGCCTGGTCTTTCCGCAGCTATTTCCTGCCTGCTGTCTGCTGTGACTCTCGACCTCAGTCAGTATGCCATGGACATCGGAAAGGCCATAGCAAGTAAGATTTTTCTTGACATTTAAGTTGAAACAAATTTAGACGGTCAGTTTGTCCTCTATCATAGAGGAGGTTATACTCAAATTTAGGAATTTAGTTAATATCAGAGCGATGAGAATACAATTTTAAAAAGTATTTTTCCAAAACTTATCAGCCTAAATGTTTAGGTTGTGAGGAAAACAACATTAGATAGTTGTTGAAATCTTGATGTATGGGCTAATTTCGTGGGGAAAGTTAAATTAGAATAATGGTATAATAATAACGTAGTACTAAATGGCAATTATTTTGGGTTGTGACCCACAGAGTTGAAGATGTTTTGATTCCAAATAAATTTGTTGAATCTTTAGGCTGAAGCTGACCACTAATCAGCACCGCTTACATTTAGCCTAGATAATCCTGATTTATTTTGCAGTTCTACTTTTCTGACGTTTGTATTTATATAATCAATTTTTTTAAAAATGTTTTATTTTTTTTGTATAAAGGTGGGAAAACTACCACTTTGTGTATAATGTATGTGTAATGATTAATGTGTGTCTCAGGTCAGCTCAAAGCCAACAATACCCAGCTGATGGAGGAGGCTGGTCAGGCCATGCAGAACCTGGCCCAACAGTGCAGTGACTCCACAGCCATTAAGGACATTGTCACTCATCTCATCAAGATTCTCGGGGGTAAGCTAAGTATTCACGGACTTACACTAAGATCATATCATAGAAAAAGTTATAGGTTTACTGACTTGAAGCATGACATCCATGTCTGTTCAACTCCGTAAATTCAGGTTCTGAAGGGAAACTCACTGTTGTTGCTCAGAAGATAAGTGTGTTGTCAGGTAAGAAGCCTTTTGGAGTCAATACTATTATCAGACTCACTGTTGATTAACTAGAAATGTAAACAGAATTGTCTTCCCGACTGTGATAATGTTTCCATTTCTTGTAGGCATTGCCAGTTGCAGCCATCATGCCGTGTCAGGAACGTCGAGCCAAACTCTTAGCTCTGCTGTTACTGAGATGTTTATCCCATATTTACAACAAGAAGGTATCTTCCCAGAAATTTGATCCAATCCAATTTGTCCAAAATTGCAGTTGTTTGATTCTTTCAATAAAAACATGTGCACCATGCACATATTCTGTCATTTTCCACTCATTTCATCCTCTTGTCTTCCCTTAGTTCATGAGGGCACATTAGTGCATGCAGTGTCTGTGCTTTCTCAGTGGAGCAGTCGCCTCACTGTAGAAATCCCCTCTGCTCTAATTGACTGGCTGAAGAAGGCCTTTACCCTGAAGACTTCCACCACTCTTGTTCGCCACGCCTACATTCAGGCCATGGTCGGGGCCTTCAAAGGTCAGCCGCGCTCATTGAAACATAACTTCATGGAGTGAATACTGAATCAACCACAAACTGTTTCTGTTCTTTGACCTGTAGGTGACACTCTGGCCCAGGCTTCAGATCTGATACCTTTGCTGCTTCAAACAGTGGAGAAGGCAGTAGCTCAGAATTCCCAGCATGCTTTGGTTGCAGAAGGTGTGGCAGCATCTGTTCTTTTGAGCCGACTTGCTTTGCTCGAAACACAATCAGGTGAAATATTTGACCATCATATTTTTTCCATTAATACCTAGCATGACAATGCTTCATATTTATTGTCAACATTTTTGTTGCCTGTTGAATGTTAAGGTAATGAACTCTGTTTTGTGTTTTCCATTTATCTCATCAGAATCCAAATTTAGCAACTTCTGGAATGTGATTTTAGATGAGAAGAAGCCACTTTTCACCACAGAGAAGTTTCTGTCTCAGGCCAGTGAAGAAAGTAAGACCATTTTTGCATTTCACATCATCACAACAGAAGATCAGGAGTTAATTGAAATATCAAAGTGTGAACAAATAAACTATATATTATTATTTGCTTTGATCTGTCTAGCTCTGCTCACGGTTCTGCTGCTCTGTGAAAGGCTCTTTTTGGACCATGCCCACAGACTTAACACCAGCAGATCACAGTCAGTCTGCTTAACATTAAAATGTTAATTGATTGTACATGTTAAAATTCTTGGTAGAGTCTTTAATTCCCTTTGTCCCTGTAGGATGTATCATCATACCATGGTCACAGTCCTGTTGTCTCGGAGCTGGCGTGTCAGGAAGAAGGCTCAACAGACAACCAGGAAGCTGCTGTCTTCTCTTGGTGGATCCAGTCTTGCTAACGGGCTTCTGGCCAAACTTTGTGTAGTCATCAATAAACACAAGGTACAGAATGCATTATACAAATGCATATACCCTTTATTACCTATTCCTTAAAATGTCTTATGTCAGTGTTTTTGTTAAAAACTGTACTCTCAGGTTCTGTCTCCAGAGGTCCTGGTCTCGGACTCAGGAGAGTTGACTGATTTGGGTCGTACCTACGTCCCTCCTCGTCTCCTGGTGGAGGCGCTCTATGTTGTCTGCTCTGTTGCTAGTCAATGGAGTGACCCTGCAGAAGCAGAAAAACTGGCCCTGGAGATCCTTATTGTCTCTCACCATCCATCCTTATGTATGAGAACAAGCTTTTGTTTGGAGATAATCTGTAGATGTTTCTTAAACCCTGCATCTCACTTTCTTCATGTCATGTTTTACAGTTGAATGTCGTCGAGGTCTGTGGTCTGTTCTGCTTTCATTCATGAACCTAAAAGAAGAAGAGTTTATAGAAAAGAACCTGGAACCGATCTTAAAACTTCTCCTAGACATTCATGTTGACAATCAGGTCTGAAAAGAACAGATTTTACCTTCCCATTTTTATTGCCACGCACTGATTTACAGTATCTGCAAAACATGGTTGACTGTGTTAATTCAGGTATAATAACAATTGGAAAACATTGTTGTGATTGCTTTAACTTGATGTATCCTGTTTTTTTTTTTTAGGGGGTAAAGAACGCTGTTGCCGTTCTATGTGGCCTCTCCCCCAAGCAGCTGTTACCACGGGTGTTTAGACACATCACTCAGGCTCTCTCCCGACCTGCTCTCCTTCAGGTGACCAGAGAAGAGTATGCCATAATGTTGACACCAGAAGGACAGCTGTATGACAACAGCATTATTCAGAGGTAACACACACACACACACACTCACACACACTCTCTCTATCACAATTGTCTTTCAGCCTTCTCAGTAGTTTTTGGAATATCCTCAATGTCTGTTGTTATGTTTCTAGCGTTCACAAAGAAAGTACCAAAAAAGCCAACATGAAGAGAGAAAATAAAGCATATTCCTACAAGGATCAGATCATTGAACTGGAGTTACAGGAGGTAAACCTTTGTCACCAAAGCCTGTGTTTGTGTGTGTGTGTGTGTGTGTGTGTGTGTATATATATATACACACACACACACAATGTACGTGTATATATATATATATACATATATACATATATATATACACATATATATATACATACATATACATATATATAAATATATACACACACACACACACACACAAACACAGGCTTTGGTGACAAAGGTTTACCTCCTGTAACTCCAGTTCAATGATCTGATCATTGAACTGGAGTTACAGGAGGTAAACCTTTGTCACCAAAGCCTGTGTTTGTGTGTGTGTGTGTGTGTGTGTATATATATATACACACTGTATATATGTGTGTGTTTATTTTAATTTTTCAGGAGCTGAAGAAGAAAAAGGGCTTTGTAGATGAAGTCCAGCTAACTGGCAAACAGAAGGAGATGATGCAAGCCCAGCTCGATAAAGAGTCCTCCATTCGAAAAAGACTTCAAGAGGTTGGAAACCAAATCTGAATTAAAAGATACATATATTATTACAACACTTGCAGCACAGCTAAAGAACATCTCACCAACTTGTTTCTTACCTACTGTCGACAGCTGAATGTGGAGCTGCAGAGTGTGGTTGGGCTGTTGGAAGCTGTTCTGATAGAAAAACCTACTAAAATCACAGAAGAGCTTCCTGAAGTTCTGCGGGTTTTGCTTCCATTACTTCAGTCTCCTCTGGCTGCTCCACGCATCCAAAAGGTTTTTCTGGACATTGGAATGTTCCTTATGCCCAAACACCTGCACCACCTAGGTAAGAAATAACTCTCTTTTGTGTTGTATTCTCCTATGAAAAACACAATTGTGTCTCGATGTTGAAATGTTTTTTTTTTTTTTACCCAGCTGTACTTGTTGGTCATGTGACTCTGCGGCTGCTTAAGCCAGAGTGTGATCTGGACAAGGCCTGGGAGCAGGAGGATCTGGACACAGCAATCAAGCGTACTGTACAGCTGCTGCATAACTACACAGTCCCCACACAGAGAGACAGCAGAATGACTGGTGGGTACAAATACAGAAAGCCTAGTGGGACACTTTTCTAAGTGTGTAACCTTAAGAAAACTGTATAGATGGAATATTACTTTTGTTCTCCTTGAGACTTGGTTGTAAAGCTGTTGTTTGTGCTTTTCATAAATCAGATTGAGAACCCATCTTCAGGTGTTTTACAGAAATTAGCTCTGTATCAGTCACTAACATTGTGAATGTTTTATTTGGTTCCTTCAGATGTGGCTCCTCTGTCTGCACCAGCGTTCTCTTTCTGCTTCCCTCTTCTCAACATCATGCTCAAGGACTCTTCTGGCAGCACAACTGAGACAGAGAACATGATGACCAAAGCCTTACAAGTCATCAACGTACATTGTCAGCTTAGAGCAGAAACGGGAGTGGATGACATTGTTATCGATGAGGTAAAGTCGCAGCTCATGCCAATATTTCATAATCTTCTTTCTTAGATGTACACTTTTTGATTGTGAACTTTGTTCATGTGCGGGGTGTGCTTGGAATGTTTATAAATAAATAAAATGACAAATCATCACACCCAGAGGTTAACCTCAATTGACCTGTAGTACTAAGTGGTGTCTTTTCCTGAATTAGAACGGGCCTGAACTGTTACCACGCTTCAACATGTTGCTTCTTCTGACCAGAATTATTTCCACTGCAAGCCCAAGACTTCAGGTAACAACACTGAGAAAGAAATAATAATGTATATATTCTGTAAGAGCTGAAATTTAGTCCATTAGTCAATACCAGGCTTTTTTTCTAAACTATGATTGATGCTGTGTTTCAGGTATTGGCATCTCAGTGTCTGACAGCTCTTTGTACCAGTGCTGGAGGAGAAGACGGCTGCACTGTAGCAGAGCAACCAGAGATTGATGTCCTGCTCAACTCCCTGCTTTCGCCCTGTTTCTCTGTGCGAGATGCTTCGCTCCGGGTGAGCTCAGGATCATTGTTGTCCCTTCTGTGGCTATTTTTTTTAGGTCCCATGGTGGTTTATGGAATAAAAAGAAATAAATAAAAGAAATAGCACAGTGCAAGAAATACCATCAAAATCAGTTCTTAGTGTGTATATCCTGGGCGCGGGCTGAGGCAGGACTGCTCATTCACTCAGTGATCACTTGCCGCCTGATATTGTTGGGATGTTCAGCAACCAAGTTATGGTACGAATACTGGGGCAATTTTTGCTTGAAATTTTTGTTTGTGAGCCGAATTGTTCGAAAAGAGGGGCATTCGACAACTGAGGATCCACTGTATATGTCAATATAAGGGTTTTCACATGTATAACAGCACATGACCAGGATTTACCCCACCTCTGAGCCAGTATTCTTCTCCCCTTGATCAGTTGACAGTGATTTGTCCTTTGAATGATCCTTTTCATTTTGTTGCACAGGGTCTGTTGGAGATGGAGTTTGCTCTCCCTACTGACAGCACCGAGGCTTCTGGCATGAATTTGCTCCGTAGGCTTTGGGTTGCAAGATTTGATGTAGAAGAAGAGGGACGAGCCTTGGCTCTAAAGTATGTTATTGTGGGGTTTTTTTTGTCTTTTTGCAATCATACTATATACCGTACTAAATGTGTTTGTGCTGTTTAAAGTAATTCTCTGTTGTCAATCCATTCTTTTTAGACTCTGGGAATCTCTAGGACTAGAGCTGGTGCCTGAACTTTGCTCCCTGCTTATTGGAGATGTCACCCATCACGAGGATGCCGTACGTTCTGCTGCAGCCGATGCTTTATCAAGCGCAGTGTCGGAGTACACAGACCAGTCTGCTACAGTTCTCGAACAACTGACTGAGCTGTACCAGAAGAAACTCTACGTAAGAGTTTCAGTTCTATTTATTAACTTTCTCAACCATGGTTACCATTAGTGAAAGAATGAGGTCATAAACCTAACGTGATATTCTCCTTTTTTATCCTTGCAGAGGCCGCCTCCTGTTCTTGATGCCCTGGGCAGAGTCATCTCAGAATCTCCACCTGATCAATGGGAGTCCAGGTAAAATCTCAGTTGAGAAAATCGTTACGTTTTGGTTGAAATGATATTGACTGTGTCCACACTTTTTACTGCATAACAGCTGCATTACTAATCAACATCAATGATTAACCCAATTTCTTTTTTTTTTTGCTGTGCTAAACATTGGTCCCTTGGAATATTAACCAAAATAATTAAAGTTAGTTATTCTGTAGTTGAAGACCTTCCATAAAAACACACATCCTTTGCATGTTGTTTACAGTATTTGTTGCCTTGATGGTTTTACTAGTTAGCATATTATATATGTAGGCAATAACATATTTTCCCTAGAGACAATACAAAGTATAGCAACAAATCCTTTTGTTTCGTGTACCCTTTTGTCAGGTGTGGAATTGCTCTGGCTCTCAACAAACTCTCCCAGTACCTGAATGAATCTCAGGTCACCCCACTTTTCCTTTTCTTTGTTCCCGATGCTCTGAATGATCGTGATCCTGAGGTGCGACGCGCCATGCTGGACGCAGCCCTCTCCGCTCTTAACACACATGGAAAGGTACTGCCCACATACCGTCTTAAACTATACGAAAACACTTTGCACTGTGACATTTGGCCATTTATTAATATCTACTTTTTTTGGAACAGGACAATGTGAGCTCCTTGCTACCAGTGTTTGAGGAGTTCCTGAAGAATGCCCCCCAAGATGCTAGTTATGACTCTGTCCGTCAGAGTGTGGTCATTCTCATGGGCTCCTTGGCCAAACATCTGGACAAAAATGACCCCAAAGTCAAACCTATTGTGGCCAAGCTCATAACTGCACTCTCCACACCATCACAGCAGGTACAAATATTACATAGATCTTACTTTGCTGCATTTCATATTTCTGCCTGTTTGACTCCAAATCATCCAATCTCCAAATCTGTGTTTAGGTCCAGGAGTCAGTGGCCAGCTGTTTACCTCCTCTAGTCCCTGCCATCAAAGAGGATGCTGCTGGGATTGTTAAGAACCTGCTGCAGCTATTGCTGGAGAGTGACAAGTATGCAGAGAGAAAGGGAGCAGCTTATGGCCTGGCTGGCCTGGTCAAAGGTCTTGGTATCTTGGCTCTCAAACAGCAGGACATCATGACCACGCTGACCGATGCAATCCAGGATAAAAAGAACTTCAGGCGGAGGGAAGGTCAGTTAGTTAACAAAGAGCTTTTATTGCTTAGGAATGGTATCCTGTGGTTGGTTAAAAAGAAGACCTGACCTGTTGTTTTGTCTGTGGCAGGTGCACTTTTTGCCTTTGAGATGCTGTGTAACATGTTGGGGAAGCTGTTTGAGCCATACGTTGTCCATGTGCTGCCACATCTGCTGCTCTGCTTCGGAGATGGAAACCAGTATGTCAGAGAGGTATGAGCAGTCTACGACCAGAGGAAACTGGTCTGCACCAAATTATTATCTCACCAATTTAGATTTTACCTTTTTTAATTTTTTTGCAAATTTTCTCTCAAATCTCTAGGCTGCAGATGATTGTGCCAAGGCTGTGATGAAAAACCTGAGTGCCCATGGAGTCAAACTAGTGCTACCTTCATTACTGGTGGCCCTAGAAGAGGAGTCCTGGAGAACTAAAGCAGGTTAGGAGGTCTTGATGTTTCCAGATATTTTTTCTTTATTGCCTCCAGGTTGTAGCTTAAATTTTATTTATGACCTCATTATTTATTCATCTGGGACCTAAAGCACATTGAGTTTGCTTTGTGCATGAAATGCGCTCTATAAATAAAATTGAAATTAATGAAATGAAGGAAGTCCACCTACGAGCCAAGAATATGGCTCGTTTACACGATTCAGTTAAATTGTACTTTATGCTTGGCTTGAGTCATGGTGAGATTTTACAATTATTGGGCTCAGTGGATGCAATTGTTATTAGTATGTGTACTCAGATGGATGATGAGGATGATTTACGTATATATGTATTTACCCTTCACGAACCTCCCTACACTGTTATCAACAGTAGAACAACAACAACAGTGCCCTCCAATGTCTAACTGTGGTACCCTACATTAATTAAATGCTCACCATATATACAGTACATATGTTACGCAAAACATGCCGGTATCTTAGATTTCCCAACCGTACGTACTGTACATGATTGTTTATTTTAATGTATTATGTGTGGCAAAATGTCTTAGATATACTTTCTTGTGACCACGAGAAAGTATCTAGTGCGCCCAAGATACTTTCTCTTTTTTTTTTTTCCCATGTCCCTTTAGGGGCTCCGGAGGGACCTGAGGCAGTCCTTGTTTTTTTTTTAATGTACTCTTATTTTAATTGAACTTTACACTTTTGACGTTAATAGTTTTAGACTGGAGTATATTTTTCTAATATCTAGTAAAGCTGTTGCAATAACAGTCGGACAATACTTTACTAACATTGTGTTGGTTTGTAAATATCTAATTTTCTGTCCATAATTCTTTTCCTGTCCTTTTCTCTGCAGGCTCAGTGGAGTTGTTGGGTGCCATGGCTTTCTGTGCACCCAAGCAGCTGTCCTCCTGCCTGCCCAGCATTGTGCCTAAGCTGACAGAGGTTCTGACTGACTCCCATGTGAAGGTGCAGAAGGCTGGTCAGCAGGCCCTGAGACAGATTGGCTCCGTCATACGTAACCCTGAAATCCTGGGTAAGGCAATAATATTTTCTGGTTTGAGCCTGGTTTGAGTTGTACAACTAAATAAATGTTATTGTTGAACTGTTGTATTAACAGTCATGTTACTATGTTCCTCAGCCATTACACCCATCCTCCTGGACGCCCTCACAGACCCTTCCAGAAGGACTCAGACATGCCTGCAAACGCTGCTTGACACAAAGTTTGTGCACTTCATCGACGCTGCCTCACTGGCTCTGATAATGCCAATTGTCCAGAGAGCCTTCCAGGATAGATCCACTGACACCCGAAAGATGGCAGCCCAGATCATTGGCAACATGTACTCCCTCACTGACCAGAAGGTAGCAGGAAAAATGAAATGAACTGTAAATAGAAATATATATGACTGTCCATTTTACACATGTAATATAAAACTATATATTAAGCTGTAAAGTGCTGTGTGTAATTTTTCTCTAGGATCTCTCACCCTACCTGCCAAGTGTCATTCCTGGACTAAAGACTTCTCTTTTGGATCCAGTGCCCGAGGTTTGTTTTATGTTGGGTATCCTGAGTATCGTGCTGTGTCAATTATCATAATGAAGCATGCAGAATACCAGCCTCTGTAGCTTAGGTCTCTGTGATATAATCATATCATTGTCTTTTCTGCTGTGAAAAGCCTAAATTGTAGTGGCTGTTATCTTTTCCAGGTGCGAACTGTCTCAGCTAAGGCTCTCGGTGCCATGGTGAAGGGCATGGGTGAGTCGTGCTTTGACGACCTGCTGCCATGGCTAATGGAAACTCTGGCCTCTGAGCAGAGCTCTGTGGACCGCTCTGGAGCTGCACAAGGTCAGTTTTTATTTTTATTCTGTCATCTTTGGAATTGTTTATTAATAATCACTAAACTGCAGAGCCCTATATATTTGGTGTGACTTTTTGTTCTTAGGTCTGGCTGAGGTGATGGCTGGACTGGGAGTGGAAAAGCTGGACAAGCTGATGCCAGATGTTGTGCAAACTGCCAGCAAAGTAGACATTGCTTCCCACGTCAGAGATGGTTATATCATGATGTTCATCTATCTGCCTCTGACCTTTGGAGACAAGTTTACCCCTTATGTCGGACCAATTATCCCCTGCATTCTCAAGGTAAATGTGCATTTAAAGTAGTTTCATCCCTCAACGCTGGCTTCAGTACTCCTTGGTATCTCTGATTGTGTCTCTTCTCTCTTCCAGGCTCTGGCAGATGAAAATGAATATGTGAGAGACACAGCTCTGCGGGCAGGACAGAGAATCATCAGTATGTATGCAGAGACGGCAATCGCTCTGCTGCTCCCTGAGCTGGAACAGGGTCTGTTTGATGACCTCTGGAGAATCAGGTATGAGTTGGATATACATGCAGTATATAGACATTAGTAACTTGTACTTTAGTATAATTGTGTGACTGTGCTGTTATTGTCCTTCTGCAGATTCAGCTCAGTGCAGCTGCTTGGGGATCTGCTCTTCCATATCTCTGGAGTAACAGGAAAGATGACCACAGAAACGGCCTCTGAGGATGACAACTTTGGAACAGCTGCATCCAATAAAGTTAATACACAAAATGAAGCAACATATGTCTAGTTTTGTACATTTTCTTTATGTTGGTTGTTCAGCATTTTTAACAGTTTTTCCTTCAATCTCCTCTAGGCCATCATTGGTGCTCTGGGTGCTGAGAGGCGCAACCGTGTCCTCTCTGGCCTCTACATGGGCCGATCAGACACACAGCTGGTGGTTCGACAAGCTTCCCTCCATGTTTGGAAGATTGTGGTGTCCAATACTCCCAGGACTCTTAGAGAGATCCTTCCAACACTTTTCGGTCTCCTGCTTGGTTTCCTGGCTTCCACCTGCCCAGACAAGAGAACGGTATATTCATTCCCCAGTGCTGGGAACCCCACAGTTCTACTCTTCACTATGATCTATTACTGATGCTGTCTTCCTATGCTTTTAGATTGCTGCTCGCACACTGGGTGATCTGGTGAGGAAACTCGGGGAGAAGATTCTCCCTGAGATTATTCCCATCCTGGAGGAGGGGCTGCGCTCTGACAAGAGTGATGAGCGACAGGGTGTCTGCATCGGCCTTAGTGAGATCATGAAGTCTACAAGCAAAGATGCGGTGAGTCAGCACAGCAGGTAGATGATGTTACTTAGATGTCACAACTTGCACATTATCAATACTACTTAAATTCACATTCTTAAACTGCGTTTCGACATGTTTGTCCAAACTTTTGAGGTCTGCATTAAACTTGAGTTGTCGATCCGATGGTTTTCCCACCACAGGTCCTTGTCTTCTCTGAGTCACTGGTCCCAACGGTCAGGAAAGCCTTATGTGACCCACTGGAGGAGGTCCGAGAGGCTGCTGCCAAGACCTTTGAGCAGCTCCACGCAACCATCGGTCACCAGGCACTGGATGACATTCTGCCCACTCTTCTCAAACAGCTAGTGAGGAAGCAAAGACATAAATAGATTCTGCAATAAAGAAAGTGAAGGAAAACATCTGCTATAATAACCTGAATTTCTTTTCTCAGGATGATGAGGAGACAGCCGGGTTTGCATTGGATGGTCTTAAACAGGTCATGGCTGTGAAGAGTCGTTCTGTGCTGCCATACTTGGTTCCAAAGGTTTGTTACAAGTTTCTTTTCATGTCCAAAGCACTGTGCTTGTGACTTACTAAAGCTGATTTATCCTTTCATTCTACCAGCTCACAGCGCCACCTGTGAACACCCGTGTGCTGGCCTTCCTCTCTGCTGTGGCAGGTGACGCTCTGACACGACACTTAGGAGTCATCCTGCCGGCTCTGCTCTCCTCCCTTAAAGAAAAGCTGGGAACAGAGGAGGAAGCACAGGTAACAGATATTTGCAATTGCTTTTCTATTCAAGGTATATACCTAATAGAGTTTGCAGCAAAAATGTCTCTTTGACCAGTACATTTTAAATGTTTGTGTTTAAAGCAACTCAGAAAACTACATTGACAGGATTGCAATCCTTCCCTTAACAATTTTGACATTGCTTACATACATAGGTCTTGTAAACAAATGAAATTAGAAACTGTTATTTCTATTTGTTAAACAACTATTTTAAGTAGTCACATTCTTCCAAAGCTTGGAAAGGCCTAGTGACTACTGTACAGCTACTTCTTCCATTGTAACACCTATTTGTCACTATTCTCGTAGGAATTGTGCAGCTGTCAAACAGTCATCCTCTCAGTAGAAGATGAAGTGGGTCAGCGCATCATCATCGAAGACCTTCTTGAGGCCACGAGAGGCTTAGACCCCGGCCTCAGACAGGCCGCTGTCACTATCCTCAATGCTTACTTTTCTCGTACCCGCTTGGACTACAGTTCCCATACACGCACTTTATTGTCAGGTCTTATCCGTCTTCTCAACGACTCCAACCCAGAGGTGCTGTCTCAGAGCTGGGATACCGTCAACTCCATCACCAAGGTGGGTTCAGCTGGAAGGTTCCTTTTTTTTCTAGAACAGATTCTCGACCTACCTTTTTGTGGCTTTTTGCTACATTTCTGTTGTTTCATTTGTGTTGTTTTTTTGTCTTCTTCCTTCATTATGGCTTTTAAGCATAACGCAGACTCTTCTGATGATGTTATTATTATGATGTTTATCCAATGTGTGTAACATAGACACTTATGCACAGTATGTGAGTTCCAACTTACAGTAAAAATTGAGTTACGTTACTCCATAGGAACACAATTCCGGCACAAGTTGAGGAGCCTCAGCTTATCTTTTGTATTTGCATCTACACTTAGTAATAATGCATTTTGTGATTTTTTTTTTTTTTGATTATTTAAGGGGTTGTCTTTACTTATTGTTTCTTAGAAACTGGATGCAAGCAGCCAGTTGGCACTGATCGATGACCTGCATCGTGACATTAGATCTGCAGCTGCAGATGTGAAAGGTCAACACCTGCCTGGTTTCTGTCTTCCCAAAAAGGTAAGGCTTCTGTTGATACAGTAAACATTATAATGACAGAAATTAATTTGGATCTTATGCCGCATTTTGTTTTTAAAGCAAATGTTAGGAGGGTCTCAGAACAGAGAGCTCCTTCAGTCTAAGATTTGTAGTAGTAATTAACTGAAAATGAGGATTAAATAAAATCAGCACCCCAACTAAATTTATTCTAAATATTTGTTATGCCTTTGCTCTGGTTTGTGTCAACAGGGTGTTACCTGCATCCTGCCTGTCCTCAGAGAAGGTTTTCTCACAGGCAGCCCAGAACAGAAAGAAGAGGCAGCTAAAGCCTTAGGAGGGGTCATCCGACTGACCTCTGCTGAAGCACTGCGTCCCTCTGTTGTCAACATCACTGGACCTCTGATTCGTATTTTAGGTGATCGCTTCACTTGGACAGTGAAGACTGCTCTGCTAGAGACTCTTACCCTACTGCTAGCAAAGGTCTGTTCATCTGCACTGTCATGGCAAACAAGGTCACAGTGTGTGACCAAATTAGTCTATGTTTTTTTTATATAAATCAATGGCATCTGTTGGCTCTAACATCAGATTTCCTTCCTCTACCAGGTGGGTATTGCCTTGAAACCCTTCCTCCCTCAGCTGCAGATGACCTTCCTAAAGGCTCTTAGAGACACCAGTCGTGCAGTGAGGCTGAGAGCTGCTGAGGCTCTGGGTCAGCTGGTGTCCATTCACACTAAAGTGGATCCACTCTTCACTGAGCAGCTGACTGCCATACGAAATGCTGAGGATGCCGGAGTCAGGTGAGTCTCTGAGTGTCCAATTTTATTAATATAATTTAATGTTCACCGTTTTTAGTCATGTTGGAGGTTGGTGTGAATGCAGCTTCTTCCATTCCTCACAATGCGTTCTAAACACAGTCGTGAATGGATTAGAAACAGAGTCCAGAGCTGTAGATTGTAATGTCTGTTGTTTATTACATTTGTTATTCTGTAAAAAATATATATTTATATAAAAAGGAACTTTTGAACATTTGTCCACCAGAGGGCTCTGGTAATTAAATATTTCTTTACAGCCTTCAATTTTGTAAGAGTGATTAATACGATTTTACGTTTGAAAAATAGTTCATCTTACTAATATGAAAACATATCAGCATCTTCTCTTTAACCCATGCATTTATTATGGAGCTGGTTTTGTTTGTTACCTTAGGGAGACGATGCTCCAAGCCCTGAGGTTTGTCATCCAGGGAGCTGGGTCAAAGGTGGACCCAGCTATTCGCAAAAACATCATCACCACATTACTGGGCATGCTGGGACATGATGAGGTATGACAGGAGGAGCAGCTGCCTTACAGCATTAACTAGAATTGACACTATTAAAAAAATCTATCACAAGGTGTTTTTTAGCAGTTTTTTTCCACTGATGGCCTCTAAAGGAGGCTTAATATAGTGAGTTAATAGTCAGTCAAATACAATCTAATATATAAATACTATGGTATAAATAAATAGTAAAGGAAGTAAGCAGAGATGTGCTCACTGGTTATCACAGTAGAAAACGGAAGCCAGACAGAGGATGTGGGTTTAGAAAAGCTAGTTACATTTCAGTGAATAATAGAAGTGTGTGGTCTGTGTGTCTCTGTCTGTGTGTAGGATGCGACTCGTATGGCTTCAGCAGGCTGTGTTGGTGAACTGTGTGCCTTCCTGTCAGAGGAGGAGCTGAAGATGGTTTTACTTCAGCACCTCTTAGGTAAGTATTTATATGAAAACCCGTGAAGACCTTTACAAGTATCACCTACACACACGTGTACTGCTTGCAATTTTATTGAATGGTCAGTTTTAGTGTCTTGAGCCACAGTAACACTGGCTGTTCTCCATAATTCAAATGTCCACACTCCAATATACTTAGTATATATAAATATATCAGGGCTGTCAATCATTGACAATTCTAATGGAAACCTTTTTTTCTGCATATTGCTGGAACATGAACACAAACGACACCATGGGCTGATGATATTTTTAACTCCTGCAGTGGAACTATATAATTACGTGTGTCAACTGTGTAGATGAGTAACAATAAGTGAATGAACAGTGGAAATGATGGATATATGGTGCACTTCAATGTAATAAATAAATATATATCCTGTATATACATGTATATAGTTGTATATAAACAAACTTAAAACAAAATTATGTAAGAGCAATTAAATATTTTGACAGTATGTTTTGTTGATTACACTCAGCACCTTTAATGAAATATGCCAGATTTTGAACTGAAAGATGCATTGTTTGAATATAAGAACCTATGACTGCCTATATATGATAAATAAGACTAATGATTGACTATTTGATAATTACAAATGTGTTAAATGTTTGTCCTTAGCTGATATGTCTGGTGTGGACTGGATGGTGCGTCACGGGCGCAGCATGGCTCTGGCCATCGCTGTGAAGTCTGCTCCTGAGAAGCTGTGTCAGAAGGAGTACAGTGATACTGTAACAGAGATCGTGTTGGCTAATGCTACCGCTGACAGGGTGAGGAGCTCATGCCAAGACATCAGTTCTTTGCCATCATGTTGCTCAAATCTTCAATGTGTCTGATTTTTAACTCTATTAATGAAAATTGATTTTTTATTTTTTTTTACCTAGATCACCAAAAAGGCTACAAACAATGATGATTTACAAAATTAATTCCCAAGATTTGTATTACCACACCAAACAAAACAAACCTTTTTTTAGGTAGATTTTTAATTGCATTGGACATCCTATTTTTAATGTTATTATATTACAAAAACAATACAACTAATCAGGACAATATTGATTTTAAATATTAGAAAGCATTTTCGCAATGTTATTACAAATATTATTTTCTTGTAATGCCTTAAGAAATGTAGTTTGTTTTTTGAGGTTATGTTTCTTTAAAAATGTATCTATGATATAATGTCATAATTTGATTTTTATTTCCCATCTCCTTTCCCAGATCCCCATAGCCACCAGTGGAATTAGAGCAGTGGGATATTTGATGAGGCAGCATCTCAGAACAGAGGGAGGAGACAGTATTTCCCAGCGCATCATCACACATTTAGTCAAGGTAAGCAGAGTTTTAAAAAAAACAAACAAAAAAAACATCAATCTATAATAATCATATTATGTAAAGAATAGTCATAGTAAAGCTCATTAATGGTGTTTGAGGGCTACTATTGCTGCTCCCAGGTTGCCTATGAATTGGTGACAAAACAATGAGAAAAGTTCAATAAAACAAAAAGACAAAAAGAAAATCTAAAAATAGAAATCTTCTTTACGAGTGTTTCTTTTGTGTTGCTGTAGTTTGGTAGCTACTGTCCATAACAACTGGAGTTGGGTGACCCCAAAATATAATAAATTGAATTTGAGAGTCCTGCTCCAAATGTGTCCACAGTGTCTTCAAAACCAGTCAAGTGACATCAGGCTGGTCTCAGAGCGGGTGCTGTGGTGGGTGTTTAAAGATCCAGAAACTCCTGCAATAGAGGCCAGTCTTATCAAGCCCATACTGAAGAGTCTGCTTGACAACACCAAGGACAAGAACACAAGTGTCAGGGCCCAGAGCGAATACACCATCGTCAGCCTCTTGAAACTTCGTCAGGGAGAGGAGACCATGCAGGTCAGACTGCAACAGAAACACAGTGCCAATTTTTGTGTTTGTTTATAGACATTTACAGAAAATTAATTTTTTGTCTATTTTTTTCTCCTTATTTTTGTAATCAGGGTGTCGTTGCCATCCTGGACTCTGCAAGTAACGACCTTCTGTCAGAGTGTCACCGTCGATCTTTGAAGAAAATTGTCAGCTTGCCAGACTCCAATGAAGAGATAGATGACACCATCCTAACATAACGGAGCAGTGCTGGCAATAAATTCACATCTGAAGAAATCAACAGAAGCCTGACTGACATTTCAAAACGTCTCCACTGTAGAACCCCAGACACACTCACAACATGTGCCCATGTTGCCCTTCATGGACCAAAGCACAGAGGGTGTTAATGTTCTATATTCCCCCCCACCCCCCTTCAAAAATTCTTTTTGTTTATCACATAATTTCTAAGTGTCTTTTTTAAGCCACTTTCTAACTTTGATCTTTTATCTTTCAGTGTGCAGGTCATTATCTTGTGCTAAATTAAACCAAGATGAAACAAGGCCAAATCTCTTGTGATGTTACAGTGTTTCTCTACCTATTTTTTCCAAATGTATTGAAACTTTTCAGAAATTACTGCAACAAAGCAAAATCCCAAACTTTATTTGGACCTGCTGTGTGAGGTGTTCAGGGGGAAGCCAGAGTGAAGTCACGCTAATATTAGTGATACGGTTGTAAAAACAACAAGAATAAAAAGATCTTGATTTCACCAATGTGTGTCAAATTACTTTCCTCTCCAAGTAGTGACTTTTGTTTGACCTTGTTGGACTAAGACAACTTAGCAGGCTTTTTATTTTACACCCAGCATTCTTACATTTCATTATCTTTAGGCTTGCTTTAACCATTTATTAGCAATTTCATGACATTTGAGCTCATGTAAAGCTATTTATTTTAAAATAACTTTTGGTTATTGGCATAGTAAAATGAATAAACATGTTTTTCAATTGAGTTTTGAACAATTTTAGTCATATCTGGGCTAACTTCGTTACCATTGGACTAACATTAATAATTATTTGACAATCTTCAGTTGTAAGTCTGCTTCTTTTGACAAAGATGCTATGTTACATTTTATTTTTTGGATAACCTTTACATATCATTGCCTAAATTTCAAACAATTCTTTAGTTCTTTACCAAGGTGTTTAAACTAAATCTCTTATATTACATGACCAACGTTATTGTTGACTAGAAGTATGAACTTCTAGTCACTAACAGCATGTGTCCATTCATGATCAATGGGCCGGATGGATGATGAGAGAGGCCAGAGCTCTAAGCAGGAGCCTGCGCAGTGACGCAGGGTCACAGTTGGGTGCAGCTCCACCAGAGAAGGAAGCGGAGTTTCCGGCTGTTTGCAGCGTAGAGGAAGGATTGCTGACGCCGTGAATCCCCGATACAAACTCCGCCGGTTCGGGGGCTACGAATTTATTCTTTCTGGTTTTTGTGGTACCTTTCTTTTTATTTCACGTCCCAAGTGGTTTATACTCTCTCTCTGGCGCCGAGGGGGGTCCGGCAGCACAGCGAGCTAAGAAGCTGTAAAGGGCGCGGGGGTGAGCCACCAGCTACCGGCATGGCCAGGGACTACGATTACCTCTTCAAGCTGCTCATCATTGGTGACAGCGGTAAGTCAAGGCCGGGGATGTGTGACGGGAAGTAGGCCTCGTCCTGTTTATTGTTATTATTATTACTATTGTGAAAGCAATTAACATGTGCTACATTATGAAGCATACTCTCGTTTGACGGCCTAAATTGTAGTTTTGTAACAGATGTATGGCATTTTTGGTGGAACTGTACACATGCGCCATTTTTGTAGCGCTGTCAGGGCGGAGGTTTGAGAGTCCGGGCTGGGCATGTGAGTAAGCCTCAGGCCGGATATCGACTCTTGATCAACACGGGTTGTCTCCAAATATATTACTCACTAGTATTGGTGCCGACTGAAACATCTACAAGACTTTTATAACAAATTTTCATTGGGAACGACGTAACCAATAAAACGTACATTTGGCTCTTAGCAGTGTTAGCTGGAAGTTTAGCCAAGAACTACACACTGAATGTGTGGCTAACTGCTAACTAATAGTAGCTGTACCGTCAATATTCCTTCTTTCAAAAACTAAAAGTGGGCCTATTTACAAGTACACAATGATTAAACGTCACTTTGAGTGAAATGAAGGCGTTTTGTTGCTCGCAATAGAGTTAGCACGGTAGTGTTAGCAGCTGTGTACCGGAGGAATGCTGCACTGCAGGCTCTGGTGTGCAGCTTTGAATCCAGTCTGTTTAAGGTTCTACAGCAAAGTGACACTAAACGATAATGGTTCGTGTCAGCTGTGGTATCACTCAGTTCACAGAGCCCCTGAAGGTCGTGTGGCTAAAAGGCGAGTGACTTTCATGCTTGGTTGTTATTTATTATTGCTAAAGCCTGTGGCGAACAGTGTCACCTTCTGGGCAATAATTGATTTCCAAAAATATCCTAAGTTTGAAGGTCGTTTATACAAAAACCATTACCTGCTACTAAAAGAAGTTCTCTCAAAATTATTGCCGGGTCCATTAAACGCATTTTATAGTAATAGAGTACTTCATTAGGATGCTTGCAACAGTGTATATCTTGTACAGAAATAAACAAACCATTTTATTTAAGGGAACCAAATCAAATGTTTGCTATTAGCCTTCTCACCCTAACAGTCGAGTATGTAGCCTTTTCTGCACTTTACCTTTATCCTTCCTGTGTGCTGTGGTAAAAGTGATCCAAAATATTAAGTACAGTCCTGCATCATAAAAAACAAACTTGGGTCACAAATGCATGTGAACTTTAAATAGGTCAATTGTATTGCTGTGCCTTCAGCATTAGGAAAATGGGTGAAAAATATTCATCTCTATGATTCGGCTGATTGAAAACCTGCTCATTTACAGTGAGGACCCAGTAGTAGTTTAGATTAAACCCACTATTTAAAAGTACTCAGTTTTACTAAACCAAAATAGTCTTGTTGTTATAGGTTTTTGGAAAATTTTGCCTACATGCTCAGCCTGTCTTTTTCCTGTGTCTGATTTCAATGCAGCCCTACCCCCAGTAGGAGTGTAGTTATGTTCTTCAGGAACTCTTTGTGGGCACTGATCTTTGCATTCATTGACAGCCCAGATCCTGGCAGTACCCCATCAGCTGGGTGATCACAGTGGAGGGCAAGGCAGCAGAGTACACCCTTTACTGTCACTCTCACACAGAGACCAGTGTCCCCTAGCTGCAGTGTGGAAACAACTGTCTGTGGTCATGATGCACAGTGATCATTCACTAGTAGACGTGGTGACCTGCTACCCCTTCCCAGCTGAGTGTACAGTTCTGTGCACAAGTCTTCTGTCATCCCTGACAGCGACCGACAGTGTAGTACACATTTAGTAGACATTAGTGTAATTTATATCCAATACACAAACTGTTCTCTCGATATAGGTTAGTTCTTTGTCTGGCACTTCTTAACATTAATTGTTTCATCAGTTTTGACATGTTTCTTTCACCACTTGAAATACAGCCCTAATCCTTTATGGAGCCACCATTATATTTTACTGAAAAATGTATTTGCAGTCTTCATGTTTTTATCTTGGCTGGTTAGTATATAATAGAAAAGTAATTAAATGTATGTCAGCATTTCACTGCGTGCATTAAAATGTTGACTAACAACTACTAACCTGCTATTTTCCAAGCTACTAAACTTACTTAATACTGAAAATGTCTTGTCTCATTGTCTTGAGGGACAGCATAGAAACATGACATATAAAAGCGCCTAAAACACATCACCATGACCTGTTCTCTGCTTTGATGCTTCAGTTATTGTTTGTATGAACAAAAAAATCCTTGCTTGGAGACCACAGGAACCTGAGAGTGTTTTTATGTTGGGACCAATCAAACATGAGATGACAATAACACAATGGGTCTGCTAAATAACAGTGCTGCAGGTTCAGTTGCACCCCAGGCCTGGCAGCAGAGTCACTTCCTAACCTTCAGCTATTACCTGACAACTGATCTGACAAGGACACAACCACTCCTGTCGTCTCCTTTCAGTATTAATTCTCCATTCCCTCTGTTTTTTCTCCTCCTCTTTTATCTGTTGTGTACCTTTTTTTTCTTCTTTTTTTTTACACACCTTGGTTTCTACATCAACAATCCCTCAGTGTTGACATAGTCCTTTCTCTGCTCCCGTTTCTTCTGATGAAACCACCATAAATAGTCTGTGGAAAATAGATGCTTTACGTCACTGATGTTAAAGATATTTCCAGGGGGCCTGAATTGTCCTGCGTCATTAGGTGTTATTCAAAGTTTTTACTTAAAGGGGTGTGAATTATGGCAACAATAGAAACTGTTGCCATTGTCAATGCTATTGTTGTTTTCTCTCTATGTACAGGCCTGTTAGTATTTCCAAATAATTTAGTTTTGAAGTGTGTGTTATAGAGAGTTTTCAGTAGTAGTAAGTTTGACTAAGAATTAACAATACTATTGCAACATTAGAATTAGAAATGTGTTAAAGACCCCCAAAGACAAACTAAAAACGTTGTTTCTTTCATCAATTTGGAATGATTGAACAATTGGACGCGAATATCTTTTATTTATAGCAGTGACCATCAACTGCCGACAGAACAAACCGTCTAATCTGGTCGGTACGAAGACAAGAGTTACATGACATTTACTTTTTGTTTTTCTTTTGCATTCATTCTGTGTTTATAATCTAGAGTAGGCTCATATAATGTAATAAAACTTTATAATATAACTACAAAGGTCAGCCATTCACTTTCATGATAAACACATTTGAATCATTCACTACATTTCTTGTAGTATTTTGTGTTAAGTCTAAGTCAAATTTGATCACGAATACATCCTGCTGTTGTTTTTATATATATGTGTGTTGTGCTGAACCTGGTTTTGTTTCCTCCTCAGGAGTGGGGAAGAGCAGTCTCCTCCTGCGATTTGCAGATAACACATTTTCAGGTGTGTGGTTCTACTTAAGTAAATGTTCCGTTTTTCTGTCAATATTCTTAAAGATGTTGGTCTGAGTTTTATTTGGTGTGTACATGTGTTGGCAGGTAGCTATATCACCACAATTGGTGTGGACTTCAAGATCCGAACTGTGGAGATCAACGGTGAGAAGGTGAAACTGCAAATCTGGGACACAGCAGGACAGGAGCGCTTTCGCACCATCACCTCCACGTAAGTAGATTTATTCTTATTTTTTCATAAAAGTTTTTTACTAAGATTCTGAGGGAGTGTTATTATCGTGGCAGGGTGTTTGTGTTCCTGGAATTAGGTTAATTTAGAGAAACCAAGTCTTTGCTGCTGTGTGAAAGTGGGTGGAATTCCCCACAAATTCTAATTACAGATGTGAAAGGGAGGCTCCTGGTCTCACTCTGTAGAACTACATTGAGGGGAGGGTTGAGCAGTGTTACCCTGTTTGGCTTGTGTATGTGACATATGTCCTGACTTGAAACCATGTGACTTCACACTGTTTTATTTAATCACTTTATCTGCATCATTCTGTTTTAGAATTAGTAGTTGTAGTAGTAGTAGTAGTAATGAGAATGGAGAAAATAGTTTGGTTCACCGTTTTTCAGCTTTCCTGTACTGTATATTAAATCGATCTAATCCTGAAGAAAACTATGAGAATTATTAAATAATTATTAGGTTAGGTTTTGTTCATTATCATCTAACAAAAACAAACGCCAACTAATTTTCCCTGTTGGCTCAGGTGGAAGCAAAAAGCTGCCACACCAACTCCTGTAACACTTCACCCAACTCATAGATAAGTAAAGTCGTTACAGAATTACATATAAACATCAGTGTTCAACCAGGAATAAAACTTGAAGCAGTGTTTTTCAACCTTGTTGTATTGAAAATTACTGATAAATATTTTTTCAAAAATTATCAAATTATTGTTTTTAAAATTATGATTAAAAACCCTACACACAGTGTTGAACAACTGCGTTCTGTCATTTTCATGAATAAAAATTGAGTTTAAATAAAATGCAGCGTATAAACTATCTGAGCTGACGCAGAGTTACGACATGTGACTAGAAGAAATGTCTCCTGGGTCGTTAGAAAATTGTGACATCAAAATTCTTACAAACATGTTTGGCTTCTAATGTTTGCATTGAAATGTAATCAAATGATATGTTGAGTGTAATTATACACATGTTCCTGACGCTCAGCCTATGTTAATGTTTATGTCCCTCTTTGTTAACTTCGCTGAGTCACAGCGCAAATTAAACAAGTGACTTGTCTTCACCAAAACAGAAATACTGTTAACAACAAAAAATACAATGACTAGTGTTGAGAGCATTTTGCTAATAAGTCAAATACAATGGCAATGATAATAATGATAAAGTTATTGGTCACTGAAAGAAGCAGCAGCTGTTGAATTCAAGTCTTAGACAAGTACCAGCAAAGAAACAAAAATAATTTTCAGTGTTATTCTTTTTGAGAAAACCAGCAGCTTTTATTGCAAAGAACAGTTTTGGTGGGGAAAAGTATTTTCTGTATGTAATGACAATAAGATTAACGAGTCACGATCACATTTTTATAAAAAGGTCATGACAGTGGCATGCCTCAATTTCTATTATAAGGTCTTGTGTTAGAAAGAGTGCTAAAGAATGTGTGGTGTTTTTCAGGGGATATGTCCTTTGTAATTGGTTCCTGCTGTCATCATGTGTTCTCCATGAATGGAAACTGTTTGGCAAACGTATAGTAGGAGCTTGTTTTTCAAGGAAACACTAAATTCATTAACAACAGCAATTAGAGTTTGTGTGAAATTAAATGATTTGTGCCGAGGTAAAATCAAAGAGATAATTAAAGCTTGTTGACGTCAACACTGCCGTGGATTTGTTCCCTCTGACATAAGGTCAGGCCAAAGAAGGAAAAACATCCCAAACATTCAAACTAAATAAGTGCATAGAAGTCATGGTTCCCATTAACCAGATTGCTTCATTGTTCAGTTGTTCAATGTGGCCATTCTTCAACCAAAGTGTTCTTCACTGTCTGATGGCAGCATATTTTTTCTGTCTCATCCTGATGGCAGTTGTCAAACTGATTGGCGTCTACTGCTATTTGCCCTGTTGAAAACCTTTTGAACTCTATTGTCTGCAAATTAATTGGACTAGGTTGATACTGCAGTACAGAACTGACAATTAGTGGGTCTGACAGTAATTCTAAAGAGATCTCTGAAATCAAGGCATCATCTGAGCAGCACAGAGGGAGAAAGTTTATTTTTGCAGATAGAGACCACAAATGAGAAACACTAAACTGTTCCTGTCTATATGTCGTCAGCTTTGCCCTAGATACAAACCAGGAATACATTTTCTTTTTTCACAGTGTACTCACACCTTTGTGAGGATGATCTGAACACCAAAATTATCTGGAGAACTTTTTTGAAGCTCTCTGCAGTGGAGTCACTGCTGCCCAAGAACAGTGTGACACTGCTGCCTGCAGGAACCTGCAGGAATTCCTCCACCAGGCAGGCAGTATATTTAAGCTAACAGAATGAGGCTGACATGTTGTTGAAGGAGAGTGGCACGCTGCCTCATTAGGTCCTAAATTAATTTCACGGGGGGAGACGACGCATGGACAGAGAGCAGCTCAAAACACTGTGTTTACGGTGACTCACAGCTGCCGTTGCACCATGACCCAGATCATGTCACAGCAATGAAGAAGATGAAAGTTTTCTTTATATCTTATATAAGATCTTTGAGCAATATGATTTTATTTAGTCTTTCCTTTGATACATGCTAAAGTGCAGGAACTTATTACCCTTTCTTTTAGGTGTATGTAGTATATTTATTTGTTTGACATACTACAGTATATTTATACTTCTATAACACTGTATCCCT